TATAGCGTTTTTTTTCGTCTTCTCGCCTGATTAATCTTGTGTGCAGAATGTTTCCGCACTTTTGTTAGATTTTTGCATTTCTGTCCCATGTGGTCTTAAGAAAGAGAAAACTATTTTTCCTTTTTTTTCTTTTTTTTTAATAAAAAAAGCGGGTTAAACTTGCTATTAACCCAAAAGAAACTTTATCCCATCTTTTTTGGATCTTCTCATTTTTTCATTAGCCTTACGATTAGTCTTTACGACAGCAGCTTTTTTAAGAGAAAAGCGCCCTACCTAACTTTTTATCTTGTCCGGTTTTCTTCAAGGAAAATCCCTTTCGTTCGTGGTTCTCTAATAAATTGCTATCTAATTGCGCGTCATCTTATACAATGCATATTTTATTAGCAAAAGATTCGCCGGAATTTTCTTTATCGTCAAAGATTAATCATTTTCTAGATATACTTTATGAAGAAAATCGAAAATACAAAGGAAATACTTATTACGTATTTTAAAACTAGCAGAACATATAAATATTTTTTAACATAAATAGAAATACGTACGTTCATTAAAAGAATGAAAGTAAAACGAGTAAAATAAGGAATAACTGAACAGGTATGATTACGGATTTCATATAATTTGGAATCATTAATTGCGAGCTGTATAAGATTAGATTTAGGAGTGAAAAAATAAAGGCTTTTTGTCACTTGATTGAAGTTTCTTTCAAGTGGCATGATTTAATTCTTCTCTAACAACAGATGTAATCCAAATTGAACACGAAAAAGAGAAACCGGAAACAACACTAGGGTATTCACTTTGTTACTCGCAGTTAACGGGAAATAGGTGGCATGGAGACGCTTTACGATCCGTGGAAACTTCGTAATAGTACCGTACCGTTACGACCTTCCGCGCCCTCCGTTTCAATAAACTAATTGAACCTAAAACTTCTCAAAGCCACGTAAAGTCCTAGTTGAACAATATTCATCCACCATCATAAAATACCGCGTAGTTCTAAAGTTACGTCAGTGACATTTATTAGAAAATGATTATGGACAAGAATTTAAAGTAATATTCACACGTCTTGCAGAAACTGTCACTCACGAAAGTTGATAAACGTAAATGCGTTACTGTATTATTATCTTCATGTAAAAACTAGTTCCGAAAGGGTTTAAAAATGTGCCTAAATCTAATTTAAAAATTTCGTGTTAAATATTTGTTAAAGGAAATAGAGAAATGTAAAAATTTCTGAAATATTTAAAAGAGAAAATTGACATAAATTTGCTTTCCATCCACAAGGTGTCAAGGCAATCTCTTCCAAAAAAAGCTCTTGTAGTTCTTGTAGCTCGAGAGTTTTTCGAAACACTATAATAAAGTATTTTTTCATCGAGTACTTTTCGAATTATGAAGCTTGAAATATTTTCTTAATTTTACATAAATCATAAAATATCTAATAAAATATTCATTTTTAGATTACCTTACCTTAATACTTTTCTGTAGAAAATAATGAGAGGAATCAATTGGTATAATGAAAACACATAATTGTTTCTAAGAAAAAATATGTAATTTGCAATTAACAATTACATTTTTTTTAAACAAATACGTGTTTTTTTTTTTTAAACAATTACGTGTTTTCTAACTCGAAAAGTACTCGATAAAAAAATATTTTATTATAGTATTTTGAAAAGCTCTCGAGATAAGCTACAAGAGCTTTTTTTGGGAAGAGATTGCCCTGACTACCTATATGTTTAATTCTTTAGCAAAGAAGCTCTAGCAGGTTACGGAAACAAATGCATTATTGAGACAATAAAATTACCTTTTATCAGATGAAGAGCTTTAGAGAGGAATTTAGGATAGCGTAGCATGGCTAGGTTTTCACACTTTCACATTAACTTGTACAACCCAACCAGCTATTGGGATAGAAAGTTTTCACGCTACTCGCGAGTTGAGCCGAAAATGTTATCTCGTCGATGTTGTATTACCGAAAGTTAAGTTTAAGCTATTTGAATCCTGTACGGATCATACGAGTTTATCAGTTATCCGAAAGCTTTTAAAGCATGCGAGACTAGTGTAGTGAAAATAATTTCGTGTGATTGCAAAACATTTAGAAATATAAGGGAGGATCGGTTTATCTTTTCTTGTAATAATTAATTATTATATTTGTTAATAAAATTATATATTCAATCTTTTAATTATTATTATATTTATTAACCCTTTAATTTTCAAACTAAAATTATATAAAATATTTTGTTAACACTAGATTTAATATTGAATATATATTCAAATCGTATCATTTCATTAATAAAAGCCAGCAAAAATTGTTAGGAAATAATAGTAATGATTTTCATAATTTTGCTGTAATTTAAAAGATTGAATATATAATTTTATTAACAAATATAATAATTGTGAATAATAATTGTGAATTTGGTCTTGTAAATCTAATGTTAATCTCGTTTCCTGATTCATAATTACCTGATTACAGACAAATGTATAAGCGATAGAATATTAAGTATACCTTTAATTATTCGCGTATGCGAAATGCAAATAGATTCGCGCTTTCGGAGTGCCATATATTGCCATTTATCGAGATAATACGACAAGAACTCGACGGTCGTTCGTGACGGAAATATTACCTTGTCAATGCCGCATTAAGACGTGATAAGTTTAAGTTGGGATCCAATTTGAATCCCCGACAGCTTGTTATCTCGACTATGAGCGCGACTTTGGCGACGCGCAGATTTAGCATTCGCCAACTTTGAAACGGGCTAACTCAAAAGCGCGTTCCGCGGAACCGTTCGGCGGTATCTACCAGGCAAATTCTACATTCCGCGCACGTATCAACTCGTGAAAGTCCGACATACCAGAGACGTTACACGGGTGTACGGAAAAATTCTCTTGAAAAGTTTTTTTAATTTAGCATTCTTGGTTTTATGATACGCACTTATGCAAGCATCAAGTGAGTAAATTATATTAGCATAGTCAGTACAATTTATTCACTTGATATAATTAACAATATAATTAACGAATAACTTTAGTACGCGCATATAAAAGTATTATATAAAATATATAAAAATTTATATACATATTATACACACATTTTATGATTTTATGAAAATTATATGTGTATAATTTATTTTTTACATATGCATTATATTATATATATGATGAAAATCTCAAAGATAAACGGATAAATAATTCCACAAAAATAACAAATAAATTATATAAATTATAAATTGCTTACCTTCTGCAGTTGTTTCACTAAATGCTTCGTCATAGATCTCCTCTTCTCTTATTTGTTCTTTTCTTCATGGCACTATTCACACGACATTCAATCATTAAAACATCGTTAATTATGATCCCGCACGCACTAATTAATACAAGGTAATAACGTAGCACTTTATATGATCCTGATATTTTTCCACAACCGCGCGAAAATTAATTAATTACGCGGATTGATAATCGTAATAATCATATAATCGTAATCGATAATTGTAATAATTGTAATAATCATAAGAAATAATGTTAAACACCTTTTAATATTTTGTGATCGTATTTTAAGAGATGATACGCGCGACACACGCAATACTTCCTTCTCTTTCGAGTTTCATCGTGAGACTGACAACAAGGACACCGCATGTAAACAACAGTGTTAGACATACCAAAAGTCGTACTTTGAGTAATACGATTACAAAAAGTATGATTTTTGGAATGTATAACACTATTGTTTACATGCGGTGTCCTTGTTGTCAGTCTCACGATGAAACTCGAAAGAGAAGGAAGTATTGCGTGTGTCGCGCGTATCATCTCTTAAAATACGATCACAAAATATTAAAAGGTGTTTAACATTATTTCTTATGATTATTACAATTATTACAATTATCGAATTATCAATGAAACAATGAGAAGTATTATGTATAATAGTGTGTGTCATATTATTTCTCAAAATATACCATCGCAAAATATTAAAATATATTAAACGCGATTATTTCTTAAGATTGTTATAATTATCATCAGCGCAATCAATGAATTTCCACAATTATTGTGTTCTAATTCGCCACTTTAACTCGACTTGCGTATTCTAGGAAGAAATAATGTTCTTGTTAATAAAAGAAATAGTGACACATCTTATTTACATTGTTCGACAGTCAATACGATATAATGGGATGACATTCCATTATAATGAAAGAAATGGAAAAAGGGAAAAGGATCGACGCACAGACAAAAAGATTATTATTATTTTGTCAATGTTTATTTATCAGTAAAATTTTCTATCTTGATAATTTTTGATCGCAATTCCATCCAGTTTTCTCCTAAAATTAGATTTGCTTACAATATATTTATAATAATCACAAATATTCGGCATTAATATGTCAGTGATTAATTAAAATGCTATTCTATATGATTTAATCAATCGAAATCTATCGCGAAATCTATAAAAAAAAGAATCATCGTAAAATAACTTGTTATCAATAAATGTATGCGACTTGCGTGTGAATTTCGAGCGAATTATACTTTGTGATTTTCACGTAATCTTATTTCCTATCGTAATATAATAAAGTGCATTTGTGCAATTAACGTCACAAGTTTCGTGCAAAATACTATGCATTCATCGTGTTCTACTGACTAGGGCGCGTAATAGTAATTAATCATTTTTCTCGTCGTATAAATCCTATAAAGCAGCAACAAAGATTGAATAAGAAAGAATGAATAAGAAATGCAAATTACGCATAAAAAAATTTTTAAATTTTATAAATATTAGGAATATAAAAATTATTACGATCAAAGTTATAATTTTCTAAAAATATATTTTCAATATTGCATTCTTATGGAAGAAATAAAATTTTAATATTGATAGATAGAAAATTTAATCACAAAGAATTCAATACACCCAAGATAAATTTCAACTCACAATTTATGGAATTTTATCTCGTATATTAAGCGTTTTATTAAATCATACACGGATCCACAGGATAGTATGTTGAGTTGGCAGCATCGCGTTACTTTAGCCAACCCGTATACTGTTTCAGGCTTTGGTGTACCGAGACGGCAACCTCGTCTCAGGCTCACTCGAGGCGTTGGTACAGCATATGGTACCTACGGAGGAATATTATCCCGATCGGGCGTATCTCTTCGCCTTTTTGCTGAGCGCCAGGCTCTTCATCAAGCCTCACGAGCTTTTGGGCGAAGTTTGCGCTCTCTGCGAGCATCAGCAGAATCTGAATGGAGAGGGTGGAAAGGTGAGTGCATCGTAGGATATACTTTCGATTTACGAACCGACACGAAATCCTTTGCCGACACCATGGAGCATCCACGAAGGCCGCGTGTATTATCGTTTCATCACGGGGTCATGCATTCTTGTCTGCTCCTGCCCTCTTATTATTTCGCTCCTTCACCTATCGCGAAATATAAAGAGTGCAAAAACTTTCTTTGCCCTCTTTTTCATCTCTATCTACCTAGTATCTTACACCTGAGCGAAACAAATCAGTCCCTTTAACTTTGCGAGGAATCATTTATCATTAAAATTTCTCTCCCTTTTTTTCTCCTTTTCTATTTCATTGTTCTTTCTTATCATATTTTTGCGGATATTAAGATATGGATTTTATGTAATATATATATATAAATTTTTTATATTATTTTCTTCTGCTTTTATGAGTCAGTGCGATAAGAATTTCAAAACTTATTTGAAAGTCACTCTATTCTTTATTCATATCGCAAAATATCGATCCAAGAACATTCATTTAATTTAACTTATTCGGTTTTTAACCTATATAACTTTGAATAACAATACAGTTGTAAAGTGAAAGAGAATTCGTTTCCATCCAGTCATTCTGTTAAATTTTTGTCTTTCGGAGCAAAAATTTGTCTTTGTCATTGAAAAACGATCAAGTATTTCATATGTATTCCAGGAACGACTGCATCGCTTCGTGCCGCGACTGGTGCAACTGCTGGCGGAATGGACGGAAACATTCCCCTACGACTTCCGAGACGAGAGGGTGATGGGTCACGTCAGATCCATCACGCAGAAAGTCGCTGCGGTCGACGCCGCGGCCAGGCAGGAAGTTTCGGCATTGCTGCAAAACTTACTGCTACGACTGACGGCCTTGGAAAGGTACGAGGAGGGCCTTGCCAGACTAGCGACTGAGGCAGCGACGGAGCAGCTTACACAGGTTTGTGAGTTTCAGTACAAGCGCCCATTTGCGGCCGTCAGTTTGCATCTCGCTGTCCCGCTTTTGGCTCGGTTAGTCGCTTTAGCGTTTTCCGAACTACAAATAGCGCTGATGTTTCTAACGTCAAAAATTCGCACATGTTGATGCTTGGTAAAAATGAAAAAAAGAGAAAAATGCAAAGAAAACAGCAAAGTCTATCTGAATAATAAAAATCCAATTTGATTATAACATTAGTTTAGCAGTTTTCGTTTTTTCCGCAGAGAAATTAATTTAAAATACCTTTGTAAGTAGATTCACGTGGATCACATGAATTACATCTGATATTAACGATGATAATTTACATAATGTCCTTGTTAAAATGACATCTTTTACTCCTGTGAATTGTAAATAAATTTTATGTATGTATCATCTGTTTTACAAGTTAAAATTTGTTGACATATCACAATATACATGTAATATAATTGTGCAAAAGGACAATGCAAATTTATTAATTATTTAAAATTTGATTATATTCATATCCAGAAAAAGGTTGAGAATAAAATTACCCATGTACTTTGCATCATCAGACTTTATAATCTCACTTTAATATTATAAATTAGTGAGGGAAAAAGTATAGATATTTCTAACGTTAAAATTCGCACATATTGATGCTTGGTAAAAATGCAAAAAGGGAAAAATACATAGGAAAAACAGCAAAGTCTATATGAATAATAAAAATGCAACTTGATTATAACATTAGTTTAGCAGCTCTCATTTCTTCGCAGAGAAATTAATTTAAAAAAAACCTTTGTAAGCAGAAATTCATATGGATACCATGAATCACATCTGATATTAACGATGATAATTTACATAATATCCTTGTTAAAATGACATCTTTCATTCGTATAAAATGTAAATAATTTTGGTGTATCTGTTGTACAAGTTAAAATTTGTTAACATTTCACAATGTATATATAATATAATTGTGCAAAAGGACAATGCAAATTTATTATTTAAAATTTGATTATATCCATGTCCAGAAAAAGGTTGAGAGTAAAATTACCTATGTACTTTGCATTATCAGATTTTATAATCTCACTTTAATATTATAAATTAATGAGGGAAAAAGTATAGATATTTCTAACGTTAAAATTCGCACATATTGATGCTTGGTAAAAATGCAAAAAGAGAAAAATACATAGGAAAAACAGCAAAGTCTATATGAATAATAAAAATGCAACTTGATTATAACATTAGTTTAGCAGCTCTCATTTCTTTCGCAGAGAAATTAATTTAAAAAAACCTTTGTAAGCAGAAATTCATATGGATACCATGAATCACATCTGATATTAACGATGATAATTCACATAATATCCTTGTTAAAATGACATCTTTCATTCGTATAAAATGTAAATAATTTTGGTGTATCTGTTGTACAAGTTAAAATTTGTTAACATTTTACAATGTATATATAATATAATTGTGCAAAAGGGCAATGCAAATTAATTATTTAAAATTTGATTATATCCATGTCCAGAAAAAGGTTGAGAGTAAAATTACCTATGTACTTTGCATCATCAGACTTTATAATCTCACTTTAATATTATAAATTAGTGAGGGAAAAAGTATAGATATTTCTAACGTTAAAATTCGCACATATTGATGCTTGGTAAAAATGCAAAAAGGGAAAAATACATAGGAAAAACAGCAAAGTCTATATGAATAATAAAAATGCAACTTGATTATAACATTAGTTTAGCAGCTCTCATTTCTTCGCAGAGAAATTAATTTAAAAAAAACCTTTGTAAGCAGAAATTCATATGGATACCATGAATCACATCTGATATTAACGATGATAATTTACATAATATCCTTGTTAAAATGACATCTTTCATTCGTATAAAATGTAAATAATTTTGGTGTATCTGTTGTACAAGTTAAAATTTGTTAACATTTCACAATGTATATATAATATAATTGTGCAAAAGGACAATGCAAATTTATTATTTAAAATTTGATTATATCCATGTCCAGAAAAAGGTTGAGAGTAAAATTACCTATGTACTTTGCATTATCAGATTTTATAATCTCACTTTAATATTATAAATTAATGAGGGAAAAAGTATAGATATTTCTAACGTTAAAATTCGCACATATTGATGCTTGGTAAAAATGCAAAAAGAGAAAAATACATAGGAAAAACAGCAAAGTCTATATGAATAATAAAAATGCAACTTGATTATAACATTAGTTTAGCAGCTCTCATTTCTTTCGCAGAGAAATTAATTTAAAAAAACCTTTGTAAGCAGAAATTCATATGGATACCATGAATCACATCTGATATTAACGATGATAATTCACATAATATCCTTGTTAAAATGACATCTTTCATTCGTATAAAATGTAAATAATTTTGGTGTATCTGTTGTACAAGTTAAAATTTGTTAACATTTTACAATGTATATATAATATAATTGTGCAAAAGGGCAATGCAAATTAATTATTTAAAATTTGATTATATCCATGTCCAGAAAAAGGTTGAGAGTAAAATTACCTATGTACTTTGCATCATCAGACTTTATAATCTCACTTTAATATCATAAATTAATAAGGGAAAAAGTATCGATGTTTTTGGTCGATTGCTCATTGATCCGGATAGCGCTTTGTTCCGCAATTTCAATATGGATTTATACTCACGTAATCCGGTTCGCTCTGTTGCAAAGCACGATTACTCGGTCTACCGTAATCGCATCGACCCTTCGAGGACTTTCAACATAATGAAGCGATAATATTCTCCCTACGGGGGTAACACCCCGCCTCTTATACGTTCTCTCTCACTTCCCGACCATTTCACACATGGTTACTGTAACGCGCCCGTTACGCTCCGCGAACGGGCCCGTTCTTCATGTTCGTGTATCATACATACTATACAGACAAACACACACACACACACACACACACACACACACACACACACACACCGCTCGAAACGCACAAACTTGGACATTTACGTACGCGTACGCGTGCACTTTGCGCAGTTAGTCTATAACTGGATTAGTTGCAGTTTCCATGCTGGGAGACGTTAACCATTCCGTTAATTTCATTATCGCACACCTATCTGCCGCTGCTTGTAACGTCCGTTAATAGGTAATTTGCAGTTGCATTAGTTAGTTAAATATGCCCGACCGTGTCGTGTGCGGTTAATCAGTGCGAAATTGTCGAGCTGCGTGTCCCTCTGAATATTACGCGAGTCATTTCGTGTAAATACTCGAAGAATGACGACCATTGACATATAGTTAAGTATAGACCGAGCATCCATTGTATAAGCGTTAAGCATACGAGAAGAAAGACAAAAGATGTAAGATGAGTTTCTTTCTCTTTTCAATGCCGAAGAAGTGGGGAGCACTTCTCCGACCATGTTTAAGATCGGAATTTCTGTGAGATTGTAATAAAGTATAAATTATAACAACCGTACTATTCGATGTGTCTATCTTCAAAGCTTAAACATTAATCTTTCGACTCACACAAAATATACGTCGTTGTGTTTTCATTAAGCAAATTTTTATTTTTTCCCTAGATAAAATTTTATCGCAAGAATTTACATAATTTTGTGAGAGTCACTTTTATAGAATAAATTATACAATATTTTTATATATTTTTTATTTAAAAATGATTGTAAAGATATTCTAGAAAAGAAAAAATATTCTCTAAAAATTTTTCATTTGCAATATTTTATTTTCAAATTTATTTTCTCCAAAATTCGACTATTGCTATGCATTATTTTGTTAATAATAAATAATTTGAAGTTTTCGTCTAAAAATTATTTTAAATTGTATTCTAAATAACTTTTAAGATACTAATGTAACACAATATAAGTGATGGGTTAAACGAGTCTATGCTGAACTTACGTACACAATAATTCTGCCATGAATACGAAATAACTATTACTTACGTGCTAGAATAAAATTAGGTATTCGTGTAAAACGAAAATTTCCATTAAACTCGTGAGATAGAATTTCTGGCGAGTTTGTTCCAAAGAATATTAAAGCAACCACAGTTATTTGCCAACTGTGTAGTAAATGTCGCAAAATTTCTACAAGAAAATAAGGCAATTTCGCAATATATCGGATATGAAATCGCAATTTGCTCATAAACTCTTTCTCTAATATATACTTGTGTACACATCAATTTATATGAAAAAAAATCAATAAATATGTACGATAACAATTTATTCTAATCTTTGCGATTTTATTATCTGCTAAGTTCATTAAAATGTTTTATGAATTTAATTTGATTCTTTTTAATACTTAATTTTATTTTTTCTTTTATTTTGTTAAAATGTATTTATTGTCAAAGAAAAATATATATGATGAAAAATCACGGAGATGATTGCAATCGTTTCAATAGTTTCTTTAACATATGTGACATGCAGTTTACGCGGAGATTACTTGTTCCGGCTCCAAGACAAGATAGCTTGAAAAGGAGAGACACGAGAGCTCTAAAAGGCAAAAAGAAACAGAAATAAGAATTGAGGAGAAGAAACGAGAGGAGCAGCGAACTCTTGCAAAGCTCCGGCTTATTAAACCGCAAGTTCTCTTCGCTTTTTCAACTCGTTCTGTACCACGACGGTAGCAACTTTACGTAATTTTACGTAGAGAAACGAGATATAACTCTCGAGATCAATAATTCGATCGTAATACTATATTTCTTTTCCTCTCTCATTTTCCTTACTCTCATATTTTTCTGCAGCAATATTTTTTTTTTTGGAAAGTTCGAGCCACATCTCTTGCATGTATTTCCCAAGAATTTTTATTCATGCCATAAATTATGGCATGAAGCAATATTTTTCATTGTTTAATAATAAAGTGACATGCATACATTGCTCTTTAATTAAAAAATACCAGAAAAACGAAATGTGTTTTTGCGCGTGCGTATTCTCATATATTTCAGACTACAATTATATTTTTTTATTCGTTGATTACAACGATAAAAATAATTCTAAACGCAAAAAGTTGAATTATTAGTTGGCCGTACTTTCAAGCGTTCGGTTCGTGTCGCATCTTTTTTCAGGGAAAGATTATTTTTTTTTATCGAAGACGAGAGAAAACTTACGAGACCAATAATGAGTTTTCGATATTTGTTTTCTTTCTACCAACTGATAACTTCTAAGTATCTATATTCTATATCGAGAGCTGACAGAAACAAACCTCGTGATCGCGCGTACTCTTTTCTTCGTTAGAAATTTCGTTTCAACTTTTAATTTGTTTTATTCGTCGATTCGGACGAGTTTCTCTCCTTAAACTTTATGAGAAGATAGCGTATATGCATTTTTTATTACGAGCAACCAGTTTATATCATCTCGAAATTAATTTTGCAAAACATGTTTTTCAAATAGATTTAACATTCGAGAGAAACATATAATTTTGTAATTTTGTAATTATATATTTTATATTTTTTTCTTCTTTGCTGCAGAATAGATTTGACATCATAATTATATGTGTTTCTATATCAGAAAGTTGTTAAAGCAATTATCATTTAAGTCAATTAAACTAAATGTGCAAAAGTCATTAGCCAAGTTAAATACGTCGAGCGTAAGACCTCATTAGATACAGCAAAGGAAAATTTCATACATTCGAATTATGTAATTTCTATTACATCAGATTAGCATTTTGCAGGTGAATTTAATTAGAAACAGAAACATTTGTATGTATATCTCATAGCTAATCACAAACGTTAATGACAAGCAATGTTATTATTCGCAAAAATATTCTTGAAAGCTTTCTAGAAAAATTTCATTTAAAATGCGAGAAAATCGAGATCATTTTCCGTTTCAACTACTTATTTCGAGTATAATGCAATTTTCTTATTTCTACTAAAATATAATAATTTCATCACGTCATGAAACAACAGTGGAAGAAACTTGCCACTTCGATGCAAGAAATCTCTCGCGAATCTCGCAATGTGATCTTACGTGCATCAAAGTGAAACTACACTTGCCTAATATCTCGCAGCAATGTTTCTTTGGGCACTGCGCCGGATATTATCGCTCCCGGCAAATTTCCAAGCAACTCACAACTTTGTCTCGATCCGAGAGACTGTCACCAACCGATTAGGTCTTTTCAACGACTTGCCCTAGTAAACCATTACAAACTAACTCTGTAGTCCTGCACTGATTTCATTATCGTAATTGGCCACGAAGCAAGACAAAGTATTTCTCGATAATAAAAGAATTGCTCGAACTAATAAAAAACTCGTCTGCAATTTTAAATAATAGAACAGTAAATCGCGATTCCAAATAATGGCACATCGATCGTTTCCATAAGTAATGATGAGCTAATTTACAATCAGAGAATTTAACATTAATATTAACTAAAATTATTTTCTTGTTTCCACGATTAGGAAAGCAAGATAATAAAATTTAAATCTAAAATTTAAATTAAAATTTAAGATAAAAGTTTCGACTATCTCTTTTGTGACGTAAACTCTTCCATGTTTTTTCCACTAAGACAGCAATAAAATTCAGTTTTTATCATAGCTATACTCATTTATTTCTTATACTTGTAGTAGTTTGTTTTATTAATGACGGTTTATAGAGAATTTCTACGGCTTTACGCTATTATTGAAAAGAAAATGTTACTTAGCGACGATAAAATTTTGTCTTTATCGCATAAAATAATTTTGTTCTTACGAGTGTTCTTGATTCATAAAAAAATTTTTATATTTCGAAATACCATCTCAAGCTGCCTTATACTTTTTACAGTCGAAATCGGAACTTACCACGCGGGAACCCTTGAATTTGCTCTTTTACCAGCATTTTCGTCAAAGCAATTTCTTCTTCTCCTAGTTAAACTCCGTCCACTTCTGTGCCGGGCACTCCGATAATACTATCGACGATATAATTCAATGGGAGAGGAAGTCCGTCTCGGAGTGCCATTTCCTCCTAAACGGATCACGCGGCCCACTGATTTTATTCGTCGCCTTTCGACGACATCTTTCCTTTTCCGCCGCAGTCGAGAAATATATATATTTACCAATCCCTCGTCCTCTACCACTTCTTGTAACATTCAAAAGCTGTCAAAGCGTGCGTATCCACGTATACAACGTTCACACAGTTATAAGACGATAGAGAATACAGCCTAGAAAGTCTATGCAAGCTCAGTCTCTCTCTCTCTCTCTCCCTCTCTCTCTCTGTTTTTCTCTTTGTCTCTCTCTCTCTCTCTCTTTCTCTTTCTCTCTCACACATCAGCCTTTAAAATGTTACATTGAAAGGAATATCGTCGACAAATCAAATGGAATAAAGCGAACAGGGACTAGTAAAGAAGTTCTGAAAAGCCGAAGTCTTTCGAAAAGAGGTGAAAAAGTATAAAAGTCAAAGGCGACAAATGTAAATGTCTATTTGTTACAGCACTATTGCGCGACAAATTTTCCTTTCTCGTGATACTTTATTCTATCATGTTTCTTGCGCACTACGTTTGACTTTGATAAAAGTAAGATTTCAAAATAATGGATCCCTTGAGTTTTGTATTAGTACTATGATTCTAGAAACTAACTATGATTCTTTGTACTTGTATATTTACCTTATCTTTATTATCTTTATTATTTTTATTATTTTATCTTTATTTTTATACATCATTTTGGATGAATTATATCAATTATTTTAAAAGAGCAATAATTAATTTTTTAAAATCGAAATAGCTAAGAAAATTAAAAAAGATTAAATCTGTAGTAAAACTTATGTAAACAGCATCAGTATAATATCTACCTAGAAGTTATTTTGTTGGAAAATAACATTTATATTTTTAAATTAGCGTTTTTTTTTATTATTATCTCGATATGTTTCCATGAGCTCGTATTGTTTTTAAATTACAATTTTCATTTTCTTCGTCTTAATCGCGAGGAACTTTTTCTCTTTTCTTAAATACAAGAGCTTCAAACCACTTTAATACACAAGTATATTATTTTGTCTTTCAGGTGGATATTACAGAACTCTGTCCATCAGCCACTGTGCTGGCACAACAATTGACCCATGTGGAACTCGAGAGACTCTCTTACATCGGACCCGAAGAATTTGTGCAGGCTTTTGCCAAAGTGAGTTTATTTCCAACAATGGCTTTTTCCAAAATAAGTTTATTTCCAACAATTATCTTGTGCCAGTCAGAACTTCCTAAATGTTTTTATAACAAACTTAACAATATTATTATATCAGATCATTAAACACTATTATTTTAATTATTCCATCAGGAATCGCCGCATTTAGAAACGTCTTTCAAAGATATGAAGAAAACCCGAAATCTCGAATCGTACGTTCAATGGTTTAACAGATTGAGCTATTTTGTAGCGACGGAAGTTTGCAAGGTAAATATTATAATTTATTACTTTAAGAAATACCAATATTTTTCCAATATTTACAAGTTCTTTATAAGTTTTGATACATGAATTTTCTTTTTGTCTTGAATAATGTTGAAATAAAATCTTTCAATAAAGAAATCAAATCTTAAAGTAAATAAATATTTTTCAAAATTGTTAAAAAATTTGTCGTGTATACGTACGCGTTGGCATATGCGCCAAATATTTTATAACCATTTAATTTTATTCTTTTAGCATGCGAAGAAGAAGCAACGCGTTCGTGTCGTCGAATATTGGATCGAGACTGCCCGAGAATGCTTTAACATTGGCAATTTCAATTCCCTGATGGCGATCATCGCTGGCCTTAACATGTCCCCTATATCTCGCTTGAAGAAGACGGTAAGTGTGAAGAAAGTTTAATTGAAATTTTTCTCAACTTGATATTAATACATATTAATGTTTGCTTTGAATATATATTAGAATAAAAATATAATAATTGGGAAAAAAAGAGAGAACTTTAACAAACAGTGTGATATGATAATGTACAGTATATTAAATAATATACATATGTGTGTGTGTGTGTGTAATGTACGTATTTTTTGCGATGAATATAAATTGAATCGACGCAATTGTTTGCAAGTAAATTTTATTACAATTTTGCAGTAACAAGTTTCGCGAAAATTGCGTCCGGCAAATTGAAACCATCGATACGTTTTACTCGCGCGGAGGTAGCCGGAACAATGCATGCATGCATACATACATACATATATCTCCCAATTTTGCAATCGTGCGAGAGAGCGTATCTAGAAAGTGCGAATATCCGCGGGACTGTTAGCGCCGACGTATTTTTTGCGCTAGAGTGCAGCGTCGGGGAGATAATGGCGCAGCGACACGACTGCCATCCCCATGTTCGTTTACACCCCTTCGTGGGATTGCACGCCGGAGCAATAAGCGCTCTGTAATCCTCGTAAATCGAGCGTGGTGACGCTCAACATTGAGCGTGACAAAACGCCGAGAGCCAAATTTCCGCGTCGTTTCTCTACAGAGAAAAAGAGTCAGCGAGAGCAATTTTGGTCGCACTTTTCCACATATAATCTGGCTTAGTTCGAGAAAGACAGCCCGTTAAATAAATTTCTTTCTCATTTTTAGTCGAACGATAAATTTACTTAATTCTCGTACAATCTATTATTGCGCGTATTAAAGTTAATAAGAGTACACGATATTTTCCTCTCGGCTCTCGAACGCGAAAGGAAACGTTGCAAACGGTCGCTATTGACGGAAAGAAAGCAAAACCAGAGCGGTCAAATTGACTCGATTGAATTTTTCCTATCGCGGTTGACGCCGCAGGAAAGACCCGAAATGTGGCTCCTGCGAAATGGGTTAATTAAAAAGTTTCAAGTCAAACGACGTTGCCCGGCAACGTTGTCCTCGCGTCATTGCCGTTCCTTTCGTCTCGTTGGGAATTAGCTAATTGCCCTAGCAGCTTTCTACGCCCAAGGGAGGACTCGTGCCATTACGTATTCTCGATTTCCACGCGAATGCACTACGTCCAGGAATTCCTTTAATCCAGTCGTCGCACTCCCGACGGAATGTTCTCTCGAACAGCGCTTCCGAAAGAGCTTTCACATATATTAAATATTTATCTCGAAATAATGAAACAAAATTCGACGAGAAAAAATTTGATTTTTAATCATTTGAAAACTCTATCTTTCTAAAATATTAACATTTTGATACATTATAAATGAAATATATTTGTCGTTATATTATTGTGTGCTGTTATTAAATATATATCAAATTTGTAATTATGGACTTAATTGTAAGTAGTTACAAATTTAAATTTTTTCAATTTATATCTAAAAGACGAATCCCATAGACCAGAAGAACAAGTACTATAGAGTTTAAATAATAATCAATATGACAAATTGAATATCATGAAGAGAAAATAATCCAATAATATTAAATACTAATGTTAATAATAATATATTTATACTATTCTTTATGAAATATTTGTAATGTGTTAAAGAAAGTAATCAATCATGATTAAAAGCGACTTATAATAATAATGAAAAATAAATAAATATCAAAATTCTTCCGGTATATTCTGGTATATTCTAATATACGCGAGAATAATGCATAATCTGCTATGATATGAATCAATTAAGTGTGATTATCATAGTCCACTACTCCCGCTTTGTTAATGAGGAGCTTATGAAGCTCATTAGCTTTATATATCTTCCCTTGATCTGTTAATACGAGAGACCTAAAGTCAATCATTCCGCTTAAAATACTTGATGATTAATTTCAGATCTCATATTAACAGATCAAAGGAAATTTCAAAGGAAACAGTAGCAAATGTTATCTTTTGCATTTGCACTACTAGTCGTACCATTTCTGGCAATTTTGCAGCGCGCGCACGTTTCTTATTGAACTATCGATCTTATCATCAAATTTGAATTTATTTGCCACAGCTCGCAATTGTATAACTCACATCAACAAAGAGCATTAGTCACCTTAAAAGAGAAGCAATATGATTCGTTGTAAAACGAAGTAAGGGAAAAGAACAAACGTATTTGTCATGCGCGAAAAAATGACATGAAGTTTACATTCCTTGTATAATAAATAAAAAGTTAGATATGTTGTTGACTCATGACACATGAACAAAATTAAAGATAATTTATAAATTTATATAAATATATTAAATATAAATTGCAAAGCATAAATATAGTAACAACATATTATATAGGAATTTGAAACTTATACTAAATTTTGAATTAACAAATTTTAATTTAATTAAAAACTGAAATTACTCAATGTGGAATAATATATCTTAATTAATTTAATAGACAATACTTTATCAAATTATCTGTAATTTATAATAAATATAATTTTAGAATAGTTCTAAAAATGCATGGTATGTTTCTTTATGAGTCGAATGTTATATATGTCATATTACATACCATATATATTTATATCTTTTATATAATCATATTTATATTTCAATACAAATTTACATGTTTATTTTTGTGGTGATTCTTCCTACAATTCTTTTTATTTTTAAACTTTATAAAATGTTGTATATTTTATATGAAAATAACGAAAATATGCTTAACCTCCTTTTATAATACAATATTGAGAATCGATTATAAGAAATATTAGACTCTATAAAAATTTTTCCTCTCTTATTTTCAATTATAAATTTGATCAATTGTTTGAACATATCTCTTTCTCTCTCTCTCAATATTCGATATAGAATGCTTTGCGTCGAATGAAATTTATTTAATCAGTTAATTTACATAGAAAACATGCGATACAATCATTAGAATTATCAATAAACATATCAGTGATCAATAGTTTTTGATGGTTCCATATTTTTCGAGAATTATATTCAGTTATGTTTAGCTCGATAAATACAAGTAGCTTTGAACAGGAAAATATAAGTAGCATTGAACTTGCTTTTCTTTACATGTACTATTTATGTATCACACAAAGTTTAATACTTTTCTTATATTTATTTTTTTATTTATAATACATAATCAACAACTTTTAAATTTAATTTGTTTTATCAGAAATCAACAGTCAACGGTTCATGACTTATCTTTCAGCTTTAGAATATAGCGTGGAACGCCAAAAATATAACATCAGTGCAAGATACAATATTATAGCAGTAGGAATTAATTTACTGGGTAAATAATCTGCAAAAGACATCTTTGCTTGTGAAAAAGGTTTTCCGCTTTTCAAAAAGCTAATTATGTTTGTTCACGACTATTCCGCTTTCATTCCGCGTATTCGTATCGTCATTTCATTTTATACCGAAGGATAATTTACGTTCGTAATCCTGCTCGCGTGCGCCTGCCCGATGATGAGATTCTTTTACTTAGTAAAGCAGGTGTGGAAAAGATAGCTCGAAATGGAGTTTTCTTAAGTTGCAAATCTTCAAATAACAGTTGGAGAGATAAATATACAGAAATAAGAGATAAAGCAGAAAGAAGTATTGCTAGAAAAATAAGTAAAAGTATAATAGAACTCATTAATTTTAATATCAGAATTTATCTTTACAAAAAACATATATAAATTAAAATATATATTTATAAATATATATATAAATTAAAATATAAATTAAAATATATATTTTTTTTGCAAATAATTACATTATTCAACATTATTTATATATGCTGTATTATAATTGAAATATAAATTGTTTGCGTACATAAAATATGGCACACTGTATAAAGTATGTATGAATCTACGCACGTGCGTGAATTTCAAATCATAGGTATAATTTTACAAAAATAAATTACTAATAAATACTAATTTTAATATTTGAGATCTTTTGTTATATATCGATTTGATATGTTTTATTTAGTAATTCTTCTTTCGTGCAAAATTATGTCTATTAGCACAATTTTGTTCTATTTTCGTAGGAATTTACCAATCAAATTTTGAAAGGTTTAGACTTTCTTAATAAAGATCTCTTGAAAAAATTTTCTTCGAAGGAGATTCTTGATTACCTATCATCCCTTGCGTTTCATTTCTATTTTTTCGATGATCTTTTTCTAGAAAGTAGATTTCGTTTCTTCCGTACGCGATATTTCGGCATCTTTTCTGTCGCAGCCAGTTTCAATTTACCAGATCTGGCAAGAGTCTCCGATTGCTTCTGTTTTTGCTCTAGACGAGCCTTTTCGGTGGAGTCGAATCGACTCGGACCAAGAAAAATGGCTCCCATGATAGGCAAGAAGTATTCTCTGGAGATCAGCAAGACAGGATCAAGAGGCAAAGTCGCGACGAACAAAACAAGATTTTACGAAATAGAGAATTATTTATAAAATTTAAATCCGATTTATTGAGATGACCCTATAATCTTATTGTTAAATATATATTTAAAAGATAAATTAATATTTAAATATATATTTAAATATATATTTAACAGATATAGAAGAGATGTAAAAGAGAGATTCACGCATTTTTAAAATTTAAAGACCTTAAAATCCTTATATATATATATATATATATATATATATATATATATATAGAGAGAGAGAGAGAGAGAGAGAGAGGGAAAGAGAGAGAATTTATTTTTATATTTTTGAAAACAAAAAAAGGAGAAAAATAAGATAAAGCAAAAAGATTTAAGAAGGCTAAACAACTATCAATACTAAAGAGTTTGTTATAGTAAATAGAGATTGAGATTAGAAGATAAAAGCATTTCGCCGTATCTTAATTCTGAGACTTGAACCAAATGCAAATAATATCGAATGGCAGATTTCTTCTTAACGAACGAAACACGCTTTTCGCATCAGATTAGACTAAAGGGAAAAAAGGATTGAATCGAAGAAAACTGCAAATGGAGTTGAATCCTGAGATATCAGCTTAGATTTTATCATGCTGTAAATATCTAAATAATAGTATAATGTTCTGTTGATTTTAAGAATACTAATAATTAGAATACTAATAATTCTCTTTTTATAATTATAATCGTAACACGTTGTTTTGTAGGGTTCTTTTTTATTTTACACAGAACACTATCTTTTTTCAACTTTCATATCATTTTAGTAAATAATTTTAAATTTATGATTATAATCGCAATATATGTTTTTTTATATGGGGTTCTTTTTTATTTTACACAAAACTATCTTTTTTTGACTTTCATATCTATTACATCGTTATACCATTTTAATAAATAATTTTATATAATTTTAAATTTATAATTACATTATCCCTTGCCCTGCGATATAGATAGGACACATTTTTATGATTTTCAGTGGTCGAAAGTACAATCTGCCAAGTTCTCAATTTTGGAGCATCAAATGGATCCCAGCAGCAACTTTAGCAGCTATCGCAGCACATTGAAAGCCGCAATGTGGCGTAGCGCTGGCGCTACCGACGAACGTCAACGGATCGTAGTGCCCTTCTTCAGCCTTCTCGTTAAGGATCTTTATTTCCTTAACGAAGGTTGCAGCAACAAGTGAGTAATATTTTTTCCGTTTATCTCTTCATATAGTTTTATGATAAAAATCTTAAATTATATGAGAGAGAATTTATTGCAAGAGACATTCTAGTTTACCTTTAATTTATTACAGAAGGTAATATTGTTACTAATATTGAGTGTAATAATTTTTTGATCAAATAGGCAATTAATCAGATATGTCTGACATATATCTGAATGGTTACATGTCTCATGAGCAGATGTCAATGCAACTTTGACGTTATTATAGAGATCGAAATTATCGATCCACAATGTGTCAAACACAAGCATGCCTAAACGAGCTTTCCCATAGCTAATTAATCCCCACTGCTCAAGTTCAATTATGCATTTCAGACTGCCAAACGGCCATATCAATTTTGAGAAATTCTGGCAGCTGGCAAAACAGGTGACTGAATTCATCGCGTGGAAGCAAGTTGCCTGTCCATTCGAAAAGAATCCGCGCGTCATTGCCTTTCTTCAGGCGAGTCCCGTGTTAACGGAAAACAGTAAGTAATATTTATTTTATTCCGCTGCGAAAATGCATTAAAATGATCGAATTCGTCAAATTTCTGTCCTGTTTTGTTACAGCACTTGCGCTAGCGTCTTTCGAATGCGAGCCGCCCGACAACAATCCGGAAAAGGAACGTTATAAAGCTTTAAAGTGAGTATCTCAACATGAATTAGATGGATAGAGACGCGATGCCTCTTTTTCGAAATACATATTATTTTATTATATTTTTTTTCAAAATATTTAAAGTAAACAAACGATGGAGATTTTAGGGCAGTAAAATTTTGTTATATTCAATACCAATAGAATTTTCATTGTGCGTAATGTAATAAAGTTTGATTGGATCTCTAAATGATTTTATCAATATTAATAAAATAGTTTTGCAAAATTATTATTTGCTTTGATCACAATGCACAAAGCAAAAAGTGAGGATTTTATTGCAATTATATGTTAACAGATCTGAGATGAATGCCCAGTGAAAGCGAGCTATGCCGAAATATGCCGAATGGGAACGGTATTGATATAGATATACATGTGGAGATACATTTATAAATATTAATATATTCATAATCGTAGTTATTTTATCCGTGAAGAAAACGAGAGAGATAAAACGAAGAGGAGATGGAGGATCGACAGCAGACTAAAGTATTACTGGGGCGACCTACGTGAAATTAGGTATTTCTGTCTTGCGAATTTTATATACGATCAAAAATTCCCAATGACGACTTGACATCATCGAAAACGTAATCGCGATTTGTACAATCATCGCTTACCTTTCTGTTACATTTTTTTATTTCTCGCTGAAATTTATTTATTCTATTATATTTATTTATTTTAACTACATATCATTTGATATATATTAAATTCTCTCGGTTTTAATTGGAATAAGCTTTAATTGAATAAGCTTTCGTTGATTATTGGTCATTTGTCGAATTATCGTAAAAAAATATAATTTTTACAGTTGTGCAATAGTTGTGAATTTTATTCAAAATTTGCGTTTTTAAAGTTTTCAAAATTTAGCAATATGGGATAAACAGTTATCACTCATTTAAATGATAATCAATATTAAAATGCGAATCGTCAATGAATTAGGTCATCGATTGTACAGATCGATCGATTTCGATAATATTTGTGGGAACCGAAGTTTCGACCATTTCAATAGGCAAAAGCTTCGATGGTCATCGTGGCGTGAATATTGAGTTATACACGTCTCGAAGATGATTATGAAATTCGTTCGACAATGTCGCGTAGACGTAAGTATAGTTCCTAAGCCCTCGACCCGTTGGCAGCTTTTCTCTCGAGCGTGAGAATCGAATTGCGCGATTCTCTTTATACTTCCGGACAATTTTCGGATACGATGCAAAGATTTCGGACTCGCTCGAGAAAGACGCGATCGGCGTACTCGATCTTTTGTACATAGTCCTTTTGATATACGCTAACAGACATTTAGGTGTGAGAAGTAGGGTCGTTCCTGTAGAGTAAACCCGCGCGATAAACTTGGGATTATAGATCATAAGGAAATATCGGCATGCACGTACTTAAAAGGATGAGCAACCAATCGCGAAAACGATCAATCGAGACGAGGAAGATGGAGAAATCGAAAATATCGGCGAATCGACATGGCTCGTGTTTTTTATGCGTTTGTCAGATTGATTGATTCGGTAAATAATAGTCGCCGTTTCCGTTTCTCCTGTGACGCACGCAAGTATGATTCGTCAAATTTACATGATTATGAAATAAATACAACTGTAATAATAATCTCGTGTGATTTTTTTTTTGTAAAATTTGAATAAAATGGAAGAGAAATAATCTAAAAAGACATTTTAGATTATTGTAATTATAAATTATTCTCGCAAATTATATCGTGACATGTGTAAATTTACATAAATTTCACAATTTGTCAACATTTATTATTTAATTAATCAATTTAATCAACAAATGATTAATTATCATAAACAATTCAACAGTGAAATATATTCATAAATGAGTACATTAAAGTGCCAACAAAATTAAATTATCTTAAAAAAATTGACAAATCGGTTTTTTCCGAAATGAATTAGGTATCAATTAATGTGATCATTAAATACATAAATGTAGTATACCGTGCTTTTAATGAATTTTAGGAAAAATTAAACGGAAAATTGTGAATTATATTATAAGAAAATGAAAACGTATTCTTAACGTTAGCGTGCGTCACTGTTCTCTTCGCGAAATTATATATATTTTCCCCGTAAAATCAATGTCTTCATAGCAAGTGAAAATACAAATCTGCCATAAAATACGTGAGATAGAAAGAGAGAGAAAATATCTACTTCTCTTTTTATATTTAAGCAAATACTTGCCTAGATAAATTTGAAGAGAAGAAGACATATGTGTTTCCGAGCAGTTATAGGGACCAAGAGTTCGTTTCTCCTGGGTACGTAAAGTTTGCCTATGGCATGACAAAGTACCGGGAAATTGCGATGGCACGATCGAAGGAGAGAAATAAAACGAACTGTTTCGAATTTCGCTCACTAGGTCACGACTTTGTGGTCTGTGAGAAAAATTGCATGCAAATCGAAACGCGTTCCAAATCGCGATCTTGTTTATCTGAAATGGATGTATACACATAAATTGAAGAAATAACGATGTTATGTAATAACATTTCACGATTCTTCGAAACGATATTGCGCGTTACGAAATATAAAAATCTTTTCCAACTCTTTCGGTTCCTCTTCTCATTCTGTTCATTCCCATTTGGTCCTTAATAAAAATTTCATATCTGTTCTAATTTCTTTTTGCAGTCAACAAAAGGATCAATACCGATTGTCAGAAATAGTCGGTCATGGTCTCTTTTCATCGATGAGAAAACTTCCCTTTGCATTTTTCATATGTTGTCGAGAAACCGGAGACAATCTCGATTTTTCTTCCTTTTTATATATTTCCATAAGTAATGTATATTTTTATGAGACTTGTGTATTTTAATCGCGTTTTTCTCTCGGCACATAAAGTAAAAGATAACAAGAGATATGAAATGCACTTAGTACACCAAGTGTACAGAAAGATCGTGTAACAAAGAAAGTATAATTTATCGATCGAAACGACAAATTACGCGAGCTCTGCGCGAATCAGGTCATCGTAAAGAATACTCATCTCGAAATATCTATTATTAAGATAATTGTTAATTCACAAGTCATACGAATTATTCACTTTTTCTTTATAATTTTCGCCAAACAGTGTCTTCATCATTACGTATATGCATTTATTATTAAAGACTCATTCAGTCATCGGTGAATGTGTTTTTCTTTATAAAATGTTTTTTAAAATTTTGTAAGTAAAATATACTAATATAGTAAAATATATGTGTGTAGTTATAAAAAAATGAAAAAAAAAAAAACACATGTGAGTATGCGCCGAAACTTGTTGTTATAAACAACATTCTTTTTAACACTTTTACAAATTTACAAGTGCCCAATATATAATCCGTCAATTTTTACTCACTATTGACATGTTATAAGTATCTGATAATTATCTTCGTCCAATATTATTAACTCGATTAAAATTATCCATTATCAATTCGATTCGCGGATATTCGAACGAGATCTGGTTATGCCGCGAGCTCGTGGCAATTTTCCATAAGTAATAACAAAACCGACACATGCACGTTACCGTAAATCAACAGTAAAACAAATTATATCATCATCTTGTTTCTTAAGCGACGCGCGTATTTGTCAATAATCATGTTAATAATTATATCGTGATCGCGTATCGATCATTCCGTGTTCATTATTGCTTTGACCTTTTCTGCTCGATATCCGTTAATCCACTCGAAATCATTACCCATTTATTTGTTTCGCTCCACAGATAGTATTATATCATTGACGGATTTTCTATCATGCTGTTTTGTATAATTTTTCTAACAAACACAACGCAATAATTTTGCTAAGCAAAAATATCGTTGTGGATGTACAACATCGATGCATCTTTCATGATGATCACTTTTCATAATAGAACAAAACATTTTTCGAATATTGATTCTCCACTTATTAACATAATATTTCGACCGTCAACAATTATCTATCACTATCTTTCTCCTCGCATTCGACGACACTAGCGACACGTTCTATAGTTAACAATTCTGTACATAAGAAGAAAATCGTGTGTGTATATATAATTATATACGTATCTGTACGTTATTTAGATCTAAAAACATAGGCCACGATCGAATTTAAGAATCAACGGAAATAAATCCGTTTCGTGGCAGAATCTACGACCTAGTATCAGCGACTGTAATCGCGGATCGGTCAATCCAAGATTGCCTAATGCAACTTTAAAGTATGTTCATACGTTTATGTATGTATGTGTCTTCGAACGTGCGATTGATTAGAAGACGAAGGTAATTCTTGCTTCATATCTAGTCATTAGATTGTTAGTTTGATCCGAATTTGTGCCATTAAACACGGAACTGTTTATTTTCCTTCAAACTATTAAACTTCTCTTCTTCTCTATCGAGATTTATTTAATTTTATCAAAGAAATTATTATTAAGATATTTTAGAATACACATCTTTATATATTTTAATATTAATATTTTACTACTATTATATATTTTTGATATTTTTATTATGATATATTTCTCGGTGACACAAATTCGGATCATTTTATGCCTAAATTTGTAAGTGTATTCGAGTTAAGTATTTAATATATTAATTGCAGCTTTAAGCGTATTCAACATTCCCCTAAGTAAAATCATAATTGCACTATACGACATAGATAGGATATCTCTTTTATAGAATTCTGCGAGCTCATTCTTTATTTGTCATCTTAAAGCAAATATCTATAACTGATGTGTTTAATATTTCTTAATCTAAAGTTTTTCTCGTACATGAAAAAATGATACATCAAAATCTTATTTACAAGATTTTATTCGAGATTATTAAAATCTTGCCAATAAAATACTTCAACGATCATGTATCCCATGTGATTTGTGAGTTTCTTTGTGTTTGCAAGTGTTTGTAAGCAAAAATCGCTATAACATGTACTCGAAAGGATGAAAGTTTGACTTTCAGTTTGACGAAGATTGTACCGAAAGAAATAATTGTGATGTTGGTGCGATTGCTATAAATGATAAATGCAATGGACACATGAATCTTTCAGCATGAGTATTGTATCGGCAAAAACAGATGCCATATTTTAAAACAAAAAGTCATATTGTCTGGCAGAATTTGATCGCAAAAATATTTTTAACTTGCTAAAATGTTGATAGAAGCGTATTAATCGAGCTGGAAATTTCGCAGAAAAATAAAGAAATATTTATAAAATTGTTTGATATAGTATGTGCTTTTTCTCTGCGCAAATCCTTAAATTTTTCCAACGATTAACAGTTGTGACTTTGGTACAATCTTCATATAAAAGGATCCTTTCGAACTTTATATTGTGAATCAATGTTTTAAAATTATGCTATTTTATATATTGATTAATGTTCTCGTCGTTTTTATATATTTGTCTTTTAAGAGAGCAAATAGTGGGAGAGGTAATTTAATAAGCGAACAATAGCAAACTCGTTTTAGCTTTTGTCTGATCAGCCTAAATTACAACAGCGTAATAATATAACTCAGATATGTAAGTTATACTGCAAGCAAATCGTTTTTTTAGCAATATTTCCATTTAACTTGTATAAACGCCATCCGTTGAGTTGTTACTTTAAATTGAATCGGGTCAGAGATATATGTTGGGACTATTGTACATAAAATAGGCTCAATTATGTAACAGCGACAGAAATGCAGCAATTACAATATTATTGTAGAAACGACGATGTCTTATGAAATAAATTGCAAACTGACAAAATTACTACCGACCATATTTATATTCGCATTTTTTATTGATATTGCTGTTTTTATTATAATTTTATTTATATTTAAATTCGCGCATAAATAACTATATATATATATATACATATGTATGTATAAATTTGTAAAAAAAATAGAAACAACATAAACTGTAAAAATAACTGTATAAATAATCTTCTTTTATTTTTATTTTCGAGGGAAACAACCGAAATGTTTTGCTCATATTTTATTCTCGAAATACAGCACAATTTTTTAGCAAAAGAAGAGAAAATTTAACTTGACATTTATCTAACATTTTCCTTGTTTTCGTATTTACAAAAAGTAAAATGCATTATATTAATAAAAAATAAAACATACATGGTAGAATTTTTAAATATCAACACAGCAATTAGTGAATAAACATACATATACGTCAATAAATTACAAATCTTTTTAATAAAAAACATGAAAGAGATATTATAGATTTAAAGCAGAAATATTCCAACCGTATAATGTTTAACAATTTCTGTAATTACACTTTTCGCTCAGAATACTGTCGTGTGTATCTTTAGTATTTCCTGTTGAGTTTTGTAGCTTTTTATTATTAATATGTATAAATCCATACATATTTTTCAGAGTAGTATGAGTTAAAAATTGGAATACCTTGCGCGCATTATTTTACATATCATTTTTGAAAAAATTTAACCAGAATTTATTATCATACGGATATCTTGTATTTGAATTTTTATTCTTAATTATTTCCCGCTGCATCAGGAATAAATCGGAAAGAGTTGATTTGAAATGTTGATTTTATTCTATTATTTATCTAATTTATCAAATTGATGTAACGTAGAACATACACACACGCATTTATACATATATACTATGCACGTGGGATAAAGGAAATAATTCTTTCACGCAGCGATGGAAACAATTTTCTTAATAGATTAAAAAAATATAGAAATATTTTCTTCGTTTTTTCTTTTCTTGTTTTTGTTTATTCTTGCTTTAAAACTCTTTAAATCACATTAAAAATAAATCGTTTTATTTTTATTTTGCTATAAAATATATATATATATCGACAAAGTAAATATTTTATTATAATATATTTACACAAATAATGGCAGAATTATAATTCGAAATTGCTGTTAATTATTGTATGTACATTGGCTTGGGATTTATTTATTTTAGACAACTTTTCTTATAAGCAAATTATTAAACAGCACACACAGATATACAGATACACACACAGATGTTGGAAAATATTTTGTAATCTATATATAATATTTTCTATCTACCCGCTAATGATTCTTTAATTTTTTGATCGATCCATCGACGATAATGCGCAACGCGAACATAAACTCCAGGTTTATTTGCCTTGCCGCAATGTTGACCCCAACTGGTTATTCCATATAAAGTAAAAGCTCCTAATATATAAAATTTAGTATTATTATCACTAAAAGTATTAATTTAATCTAAAATATATAATTGAGAGAGAATATATTGTATTTATATATTTTAAAGTACTTTAATTTTAAAATAAAATTAAAAAAATAAAAAAATACTTTATTTTTTTATTTTTAAAAAATATGAAAATTTTCCTTTTGCGTTTTCTCTTTTTATTATTACATCAATATATTTTTATAATCATATCTATATTGCTAAAAAAATATTCATGCATGTTATATATTTTTTTTATTGTGATCTATAAATTATTTCAACATTACCATTATGATAGCACGCTAGAGGACCTCCGGAATCGCCATCGCATGTATCGATACCCTCATCAAGGTATCCGGCACACATCATTCCCTCGCTTATGGCACCTTCGCCGTAAACATAACTAGCCCGACAAACTGATTGATCCAACAAGGGCACCCAGCCATATCGTAAATTCTTTGATTGCGCTGCAAGACAAAACAACGACAGTTTGATTTATCCCACGAGATTCAGCTTAAAATAATTCTCTCTGCTGTCCTCCCGCTTACTCGTCTTTCCCGTCTCGATGCTTCCGAATCCGCTGATCGTGCAATTGAGTCCGGGTGAATAGTCGGTGTTCTCGGACGGCAAGCAAATTGGCATGATATCCTTGCCAAGCGGGATACCGTGACCTTTAAGCAGGATCAGGGCGATATCATTGTTCATTCTGTGACCCTTGCGGAATTCCTCGTGCACGTAGTAATCCTCGATGTTGGCCTCCGCTTCCGTTCCCTCGTCTATCTGATGATATCGACCACCATATAAAATACATTTTTCACAAATATATACATTTTATAAATACAATCTCTTTAAAGTCACGCGTAATTTTACTCACATCTGTGTTATAATCTCCCGCACGAACAAAGTAAGTGCCTTTGTTATAGCCTTCCAGACAATGTGCTGCTGTTAAGAGATATATAGGAGATATCATGACTGCACCACACCAATGACTCGATCGACTGTGCCCTCGAACTCGTATACTGGCCTAAATTTTATTTTACATTCTTTTATATTGTCAACATCAAAATTTTATCTTGGTCCTCAAAATCAATACAAGACTTCGGGATTTAAAAATCTTAAAATAAAATTATATTTAAGATTATACAAGACAATAAAAAATTTTGGACAATAAAAAAATTTGGAACCTAAAAACCTTAAAATAAAATTATATCGATCGACTGTGCCCTCGAACTCGTATAGTGTCTTAAATTTTATTTTACACATTCTTTTATGCTGTCAATATCAAAATTTTATCTTGGTCCTTAATAGAAGACTTCGGGACTTAAAAACCTTAAGATAAAATTATACCTTAAAATTATGCAATACAATAGAAGATTTTGGGACTTAAAAGCCTTAAGATAAAATTATACCTAAGAATCTTAAGATAAATTTCTATTTCACGCAGTATTCATTTTAATATAAGATATATAACTAGATAACAATTTATTATTAGTACCGTAAAATGGGAAATTTATTTCGTTGAAGTGATTTACCTGCCAGGGATAAGTGCCTTTTGGAGCGATAGAACCATGCACTACTTTTTGAAAGATCAAGTCGTCATCATTATTAAAATCTTTAGCGCGCTGACCACAATTTGATGGAAGCAGCTCGTCAATATTTCGTTCTGGAAGTTCTGGGTTGTTTATCCAGTATGACTGCTCAATAAATCAGGATCGAGAAATAAACAAACGATTTATATAAATGTATAAAATATTGTTTATTTCATATAAATTATTGTTTAAATTGTTGCAAAGATTGCAATTATTATTTGCTCTTATACAAATTATATATTTTATTCTTCTCTCTCTCTCTCTCTCTCCCTCTCTCTCTCTCTCTCTCTCTCTCTTCCTCTCTTCTCTTTATACATTTTTTATAAAATATTCTAATATTTATTACTATATTTATTATTTGTATTCAAAATAATATAATAGAGAAAAATTGATTTTTATTCGTTCAGTGAACATTAAACAATTAACAATTATGTTACAGTGAATAAAGATTTGTTTCGAATTACCTCGGCATTATTAACATTTCCAGGTGAACAAATTACACCTGCATCCTCATTATGATCACAATTATGTTGGCCCCAGTGATTATGCTCGCATCGATATAATTGCGATTCGTTTCCATGACAGAAAACCTATTTTACGAAAGCGAAAGTAGCTTCAAATTATTAATACAATAACATTAATAATATAATAGTGTCATATATTGCTATAGATATTTAATACGAATCATTACTTCTCATCAAATTAACTATTATCAATAATATATGTTTGTTAAAAAGCTGTTAAATATATAACAGCTGTAAATTATAGATGTGATACCTCATCGAGCCATATAAGTCCTTGGCCTGGCCCAAAAAAGCCATCCTTCTTGGCGATTGCGATACCACCATATCCCAATGATCTACAGATAACAGCTGCCGTGGCATTTGTAAAATCATCATCGCACACAGTACCCCATACACCGTGATGACGCACTTCTACCCTTCCTTGCAAAGGACTGCTGCCATTCGCCAAGCGCAATTCGAACGGTGCCTGAAATCTTCGTTGCGTCAAAATCTACAAATCTATTTTAACCATTCATCTAACTTACATCGCAATGTTGCGGACTCTCATCGGAGCGATCTGGGCAATCGACCACCTCGTCGCAAATAAACGGGGTCGGTATGCAAGTTGGACTATTATCGCATTTCCATTGACCTTCCTGACAGGTATTGACCGCGGTCTTACAAACGACGCCAACAGCTTCTTCCGGTTGACAATTATGAATTCCCCATCTAAAAACAAGAACAATTTAGCAATTAATTTTAGTGGTAGAAAAAGCGTGATTAATAAAATAGAGAATAGAAAATAGAAAGAATTTTTCTACGTACCCGTTAAAATCGCATTCTCTTAGTGTAGTCTCGTTTCCACGACACTTCAATTGATCCACCATAAATCTTGTAGGTGGATCGAGATTTCCATAAAATCCACTCGATCTTACTTCCAAAGCTCCGAGCTCGAAACCGAGCTCTTTACAGATGACGTCAGCATTGATCATTCCAAAGCCATCGTCACACACCTGTCCCCAAACTCCTAAAACTATGGAGAGATATTGAGTAAATGTACAAGATAAGAAAATATAGAGAAAATATATTTGCCTTTGAAATATTTAATTATATTTTTATCTTGCAATCTTTTTTATAAAGATAAAGGATTTTAGGATATAATTAGTCACAGACAAAATATTAAACAAATTTTAAGAAACTTGACTTAAAGCATGTGATATATGCAATAAGAAATGAAATAAATATCAGAAAAAGTGACAATAATAAAATGTCATAAGAATAATAATTTATTGTATTACGATTTGTACTATGATATTTGCACTTTTACATTAACACGATAAATATTTTTTTAGATATTTTATTTATTTAATTATATTTTTGCGACATTGTACTTACTTTTTACTTCTATTCGACCTTCATAACTGTTATCTGCACCAGCCAAACGAATACTGTAATCAAGATTTTCAGCAGTACAAATATCCTCATCACTGCGATCATTGCAATCATTCTTGCCGTCGCAGACTTGTGTTTGATTTATGCATTTGTTATTATTGCAGATGTACATGTCGTTGCAATCCAAACTCCTCTCTCTCATTTCATAATAATCGAATTGCTTGTCAGGCTTAAGTGCACCAGTCAAACCAATGTTACTGTTACTCAATAAACACACATTACCATTCGATCTAAAACAGAATATTTAAATATACGTGAACACGCAACTGTATACTGTATAAAGGACTAATCGATCCAGGTAAGAGTGATTACAATATATATGATTCTAGCTCAAGTAAAAATCTATTTTACTCTCTCGTGTAATATTTATATTAAAACAAATTATGTTATTACAAAAACTATCTTGTTCATATATTTTATTTATCATCATATTATTAGAATGCATAAATTAGTGAAGCTAGAAATATTAATTATATATGCACACATATATGTATGTGTGTGTGTGTGTGTGTGTGTTAAAATCAATTTTTAATAAGCAGTAAAACTTCAATATGTCTGTATTCGTGAATTAGTAGATAATAATAATTCTTATACAAACTTATGATTAAACGAGCGACAAGTGAAATCAGCTTCCTTGCATCTTAAAGCACAGGTCTTCAATGGTGTGTTTAACCATTTTTCTACATCATAGCCCTCAAGCTTATGTTTTGTAGATTTTTTAAAGAGATTGAGATCCAACATGCAATTTCTTTCGTCAGCCCCATTTGTACAATCCTAAATTGTGTTATATTGAAAACTTTATATTAATTATAATTTTAACGTACACGTATATATTTTCTTTTCAAATATAAACATATGTTTCAAAGTAGAAAAGTGAATATAATATAATTGAGAAAGAATATAAACATTAAAAGTAAATTTATTACAAGTATCTTAGCTAACTTAATATATCCTTACAAAGTAAACATTTTTTATTACTTTTACAAAGATTGCTTAAAGAAGTTTAATTAGCAAATCCTTCTATAATTTTAGTAACAGAATAGTTTTAATTTAAACGATACGTTTGCTAGCTATTATTCTGCTCTGTTCATATTTTTAATAAATTAGAAAAAACATTTTTACTATAAACAATGTTATTTCATGCCACGTACAATTTATTAAATAACTGTATGCGCATAAAATTGCCTACATCTTACCTCTTCTCCATCGCAAACCCATGGGGAGGGAATACATTCTCCTGCCATACATTCGAAATGTTTAGGTTTACATTGACCAGACAGCATTGACCGTTTTGGATCTAAAAAAAAGTATTTTATATATCTCTCTTTATTATAACATTTATTTCATCAATGTTTCCTTGATGAGGGAAAAATTCGATTAATAAATTTCAAAAATATACCAATATTTCCACAGGCAGGAATATCGCAATATTCATACTTTCCAGGGCCTGTAAAACACCATGGTCTCGATTCTTTTCCCGGATTAGGATTTCTGCAGTAGTTATGCATTTTCAGTTTATCTCGAACTTCTTTATTAACAACCTACGATAATAAAAATTAGAATAGCATTTACATAAATTCAACAAATTTTTCACTTAAAATAAGCACATTTTTAACGCGTACAATAGCAAACTTACATTCACATGTAATTGATGTGCAATTCTTTCATCGGCCCATGAAAGACATTTATTTCCTGATACTGTTACATTGGCTTTACCAGTGTATTGATTTCCTTTTCCGTATGTGCAACCTAAAAAGAAGCGAAAGAATAAGAATAGTGTTTCATCATCCAAGTATTTATCTCAATATATTTTATGAAAGCTTGTATCATTTTATATCAAAAACTGATACACTTCAAATCAAATTCAATAAAATAATTTAATAATATGTTTATGTGTGTAATAAAATTTAATAATATAGAAATTATTTCTTATATTTATTTTATATCTAATTATATAACTTATATATATTTTATATCATATAATATTTTATATCTAATAACATATATTCCATCTTTTTATATTAATCAAAAATATTATATATATATATATATATATATATATATATATATATATATACAGTGTCAGCCAAAAATATATACCTTTATATTTTTTGAAGATAACTTAATTCAAAGTATACATGTTTAATTAATTTTTCTTAAGTTGCTGTTTTCATTATTGAATGAAAAGTTTATTGTTCAATAATTTATATATCTACTATTAAAACATATGTGACTAGATAGAAATATATGTACTTTGAATTAAGCTATCCTCAAAAAACAGAAATTATATATTTTTGGCTGATACTATACAAATATATAACATTCTTGATTAATATAAAAAGATGAGATATATGTTATTAGATATAAAATATTATGCAATTTTTCGTGTGATTTATTTTGTATGTGTATATGTATACCAATATCGTCATAAGGTCTCTTGCAAATAAAGAAATGCTCTTTTGAATTAGCTGCGCAATCTTCAGTGTCCCAGAAGAAATAATCTATATCACATGTCGACTCTGGTCGCTCATAACACGGAAATTTTCGTTTCATCACGATACAACGAGGACGATAGCCTACCCACGGTGATTGTTTCGTATCGTTCATCCATCCAGGCCACCACTTTGTAAATCTAACAAAACATTTTACAAAAAATTTAAGAATAAATTTAAGTGAGAAAAAGGAATAACTCAATTAAATTCATAATTTTATACTTGCAAAAGCAATAATTTGAGATTAAAAAGATCGATTTAATAAATTAAAATTAAATGAAATTGATGCTTTTATATTGTCAGAAGTAATACTTGAATTTAGCATGCGCGGAATCCGCCCAGAGCCATAAGGTTCGATTCATTGTAGTGAAACCGAAGCCGGAAGTCATGATTGAATCAACTTCCGGATACGATTGCAACAGCAATTCGGACACAAAGTTGTTTTCTGCCTGGCTAGCGATATCGATGAGTCGTGCATTCCTCCGTGTACAGTGCTCCAATGCTTCGGCATGATTCAGTCCGCTATCAGGATGAGCCAAGTGATAACAGTTTCCATTATGCGGTATCTCGTCCTTGCGACAATGCGCTATACGATTAGGAGCGCATCGCACACCAATCGCATCTCTAGCCACTTGGCACTCTTGATTGTGTGTGAACCTACATATGGTTATAATTATCATGTTACGTTTTAACGTAAAGATTTTTATTACAATCTGTTTTTTACGATTAAGATTGCAAATAAAAGATGACTTAATAATAGAGATTTAAGAAACGAGAAAAGTGAGAAATACGAATCATAAATATTTTATTACAATCGTGAAGAATTTAAATTATTATTTGACCATTTCTATCGAATATTGTAAATTCTCTGATAACGCGAATCTTACTTGCACGATTGAAATCTGGTCTCATTGCCGAAACATGTTACAGTATTTGCAGCGACCCAATTTGGCATTCCATTGCGATTGTTTCTTCCTTGCCAAGCCATTTCAGCGCCTCTTTAATAAATAAGAAATTTATCATGTCACGCTTCTTACTGTTTATTATATTGCGAAAAAAGTAAAAAATGTTCAAAATTTATTGTAGAAAATTTATACTAGACAAATTTAGAAATAAAACAAATTTTTTATATCAAATAAGAAGATAACAAAAAAATAATTATTTTTATTCGTTTAATAATTAAGTTTAAATTATCACGGAAATGGAAACAAACTGCTCAAGTTGAAAATCAAATATTGACTTCAGAAATCTCTATACAAGGATATATAACCATTTAATTTCATTGTAAATACATGTACATTGTGTATATATGATTGCATAAAACTCTAAATACAGATTACAAAAAAGAAACTCATATCGAACATTATTTTTAAGATATAATATAAATTTTCATTTTACCTGATAATATAAATTTTCATTTTACCTGATATAGCCAAGTTGTCTGCACAAAATATTAGCTTCTTTCAATGTCCAACTATTTCTGGAATCGCATACAATGCCCCAACCAGGTAGTATACCTTGTACTTCAACATAGCCTTCATTAGGTCCTGGGCCACCCCTCAAGCGAATTACCTATAAATGTAAATATATGTTATTTCATTATGATTTTAAAATTAAATTTTGCAATTCGCTTTTATACCAGATAAATATTTTTACCTGGCCAGAGATGGGTGTTAGTCGAACAGATTTTTTCGAATGAGTCAATGGTTGCACTGATTGTACATAATAAACTGGGAATGGAGATTCTTCTATAAAAGAGAATAAAACAAAATTTTTATTTACTTTCGTTTAACCATTATTACTTGTTTAAACAAAGCTCGTGTAACAATTTGCATATTGTAAAAGTGTATGTTTTGATATGTTAATACTTCCATAAAATTAATTAATTAATTAAAATCATGCAAAAGAGTAAAAACACATGCAAAAGAGAAACAGAACCAGGTTAACTAAACATCGTATTGTATGGATAAATAATCCACTGGTTAAAATAGTTGCAGTGCTACAATTCTTTGTTAGTATTCCATAATAAATAATTATTATATAAAGTAAGATGAAAAATATACTCAATACACACATTAAATATATAAATATTTGAAACATTCAGCGGACAAGGAAAATAATCTCACAACAGTTAATAACAATTGGGAATATTTTATTTTATTTTTAGATTCTGGATTATTGCGTCTAAATATTTATTCTTTTAATAAACAATAAAATTATTGCAATAAAATATTATTTATTGGAAAGACTTTTATATAGCAAAGAATTAATTTTGATATTATACGATATTTTATAGCACGAGAGTACACATAAAATAATTATAAGAAAGCCATTCAAAGAAACGATCGAAAAATAACTTACCAAATTGATTTTTCACGAGCACTTACTGCATAGATAAAAGATACATGGATCTACGTCAAATTAAATCTTTAACTTACCTTCCTGAAACGGTGCAGCTTCGATATTAAAAAGTTCGACATCGGTATTCTTCGGGCCAATTTTCATAATGACTGATGAAGCCGTCGTGGTCTTGGTTTTATTTTCGAAGACCAATCTAGGTTTCCAGACATTTTTGTCGTCTAACACATCCACGTCGTAATCATTTATCTCAGGTTCGATAACATTCGGGGTAGCAGAATCTACATTACTTATTTTTGTGTCGCTAGCGCCCCAATAATCATCTCGTTCAATTGAAACATCAGGTAAATTGTCCTCGTTTGTGTGATCGAAATTATGCAATTCGCTTTCAGTCGTAATATTTACAAAATCTCTTCCTCTCCTTGATAGTTCAGATTGTTTATTTGAAATATTCTGCGGCGTCGTTGTCATTGGCGTTTCAGTTGTGAACGATGCATAATTACTATCAGTGCCTATTAAAAGAGAAATATTTTGTCCGGGCAAACAATTTCTAAATTATCAATTGCAAATATACGATTATTATTACTACTGGCCAATTTACCAAAACTTGAATAATCGACAAAAAATAAACAACAATATATAAATAATATTTGACCATCAGTGCTAATCGTTTTGAATAATAATAATTTCTGTCAGGAGATAATCAAAGTTTAGTTGCTAAACGATACAATTTGCACAGGATATTTTAAAACTTAACTATTAATATTATTTAAAATAAATAATAATAAAATAATAAAATAATATAATTAATAATATAATTAATAGTAAAATAAAAATGTATGCTTAATTGTTAGATTAAGCAGAAAGTTGACACAAATGCAAATTAATTCTCGTCAAAATAATAAAGATAATCACAGTTTGAAAGGGCATATCAAATAGGATTGATAGTATAATAATTAAGGCATACTATTGAAAGTATTATTCCAGCTGATAGGTTTGTGAACATTATACGGCTCATGAATTCTCAGACCTCCTTCATTATTTTCAATATCTTTCGTGATATAATGACCTTTTATGCCACCTGCATTGACATATATGCCATTTGGATAAAGGTTTGTTCTTGGATATTGAGTTGTACTTTTAGATTCTGCTACAAATTATAAAACGTATCATGAATATAACTCTTCTAAAATGTTTTGAGAAAAATATATTAATTATTTAAATAATAATTTGTATCTTATTATAAATAATCACTGTATGTATAATTTCGTATTTAATATTTATTGTCAAATAATTAAAAGAATAATTAAAAATTATACCATCTATTTACAAACCTAAATTTACTTGGCTCTTAGAATTTAAAAAAACATTTGTCCTTGTTGCCCATTGTGTCATTTTTGTATCTGCCTCTTTATCAATTGTACTTTGAGAGAACGATTTATCAGTCTGACTAATTGTGCCTACGAAAGATTAAGCTTTCACTCACATTTATCATATTTAGTAATATGATAAATTTTATTTTTAAAATGCTACTTTTTTAGCACAAATAGATACACGAAAAATTTTGCATTTACCACTACATTTAATTATCTAACGTGTTGATTCTTAATATATTTATTAATACTTTATTAGATTAAAAAAATTTATATTCGCTATATTTAATTGTGTACATTTGCAATTTTTCATCATTAATTCATAAAATATACATCAACATGCGACATAACTTTCATGCATTAGCGATTACATTTCATGCATTATAACCATTAAATAATACCATTATAATATATATATATATATATATATATATATATATATATATTTGCATTGTTTATTAAATTGATATCATATTATAATATATTAATTATATATTATAATATCACAAGCTTTATACAATTATTTATAAAGTTAATTCATGCAACGTGCAAATATTTACCAATAAATTTTGCACAATGACACATTTTTTAATTACTAATTACATTATTATTTTATTATATATTGATTATAATTTATTTCTTAATTTTTTTTAAAAATATTAATAATGAGTAATAATAAGTAAAAAATATTTTTATAAAATAAAGTTCTGCAGCTATAAAATATTTTATTTTAATAAATAGTAATCTTTTATATATAAAGATATAAAGATTATATATAAAGATTAGGTATTTAAATATAAAAGTATGTTGTATCAATAATTTATTAAAATAATAAATTATAATATTAATTTTTATTTACCTTGATCCCACGGATGTGTCTGGTTTTCCGTTTGCACATTTCCTGGATTTTCTTGACTATGCCACGTACTTGGTTTGAAGTTAGATCTACTTGGCTGATTCCAAGCAGATCCAATATTTTCTTGCCCTATCCAAGCAGAAGATTGTTTATCTTGTCGCAGTCCATCCTGGATTTGATCCCAATTCTCAGTTGATTTATTATTACTATTTGGAAAAATATTTCCAACGGATGAAGAAGTTCGATTAAAATTAGGATGATAAAGCCCGGGGATTGTCCTACCATAATTTTGTCTATTCAAGGAAAAATCATGATCGGTTTTTTGATTTGTTGACATTCCATCGGAGTCAAACTTTGTTTCATTATATCTATGATGGAACTGAATGTTATCTTCGTCGTTCCTTTCAGGAAGTTGAAATTGCCTCTGATCTGTTTTATTTAGTGCAGTATGTTCAAAATGGCGATGATCATAATGACGAGAATTATGATCATAATTGTAACTGGGACGCCAGTTACTGTCAGTATTTGGAGTGTAATATCCTTGATTATATTTTTGATCATTAGTAACAGCAGGATTAGCCCAATTTGTATCTTCCGAAGGATTCGATGTAGGTCCGTAATTATGATAATGATGATGATGATGATGGTGGTGGTGGACACCTGAAGGATAATGACTGTAATGATAATCTGGATTTTTATATGCATGTACCGATGATTCTTCTGGGCGATCGGTATGATAAGTTCCTTGTGGTTCTTGATCATTTCCCACTTGTTGCCAATCTGGATGATGTTGAGATCCATAATTACTACCGGAAGGACGTCCTAAATTTTCGCTTGGTTTCCATTCTAAATGATGGGATCCATGACCTTTGTACTGCTTTTCTTCATGCACGTTATCGTAACGATCATGGTAATCAGGAATATGCTTAGAATGATTATAAAATGGTCTCGCGGTTGTCCATGTTGGTATCCATCGTATACGTGGAGTTGTGGTCGTAAATGGTCTCCATGTTGGTCTAAATGTTGGATTCATTGTTGTGCTATATCGATACTTCGATTGAGAAATATGACCACGAGTGTTAGTTGTACGATTATAGTGGCCTGAATTCGACCATGACATGGTACCTCTAGCTTCAGCAGATGGCGACCAAGTACTAGCTCCTGTCTTGTAAACTCCATCAGATTTATCTGTAATTCAGAAATCTTATATTATTATGTAATAATTATTTTTAAAATAGAAATATAATATAGAAGATATCAATCAAAAAACAAATCTTGCTAAAATAAATTATAATTCATTGTATAATTTTATTTAATATTGATTGTCAAAGTAATAGAAAAATATATTAATTAATATTATTTATTTAATAATATTAATTATATAAATATATTATTTAATTATAAATATTATTAATATATATAACCACCTGTTTTACAACTGGGCACATTGTATGGCCAATCACAAACTGTCGTAATAGGATTGAAGGCTGTTCCAGGACCACAGTCCATTATATAAGTAACACCGTTTGCACATTGAAGAAACTTTTTGCATGTCTCTGGATGAGCTAATAATCCAGTAAAATCCGCAGGACACGTAATTTTTTTTACTTCGGTATATGATGACTTATCACGTCCAAAATTCGGATTTATAGGTGCAAATGGCATTTTGTCATCTTCGTCAGATTTAAAATTATCTGTATAACGCAACATTAAGTAATGCAAATTATATTAGATTTAAATAATGATAATTATATTATACGCCATCGAATCATTTCTTAGAAAAAATAATTATTTATTACCTTCGCAACCCTTTACATTCCGCGGCCAATCACACACACTAAGAGTAGGGTTGAATACTGTTCCAGGACCACAGTCCATTATATAAGTAATACCGTTTGCACATTGAAGAAACTTTTTGCATGTCTCTGGATGAGCTAATAATCCAGTAAAATCCGCAGGACACGTAATTTTTTTTACTTCGATATATGGTGACTTATCACGTCCAAAATTCGGATTTATAGGTGTAAATGGCATTTTGTCATCTTCGTAAGATTTAAAAATATCTGTGTAACGCAACATTAAGTAATGAAAATTATATTAGATTTAAATAATGATAATTATATTATATATCATCAATATTATACGCCATCGAATTATTTCTTCGAAAAAATAATTATTTATTACCTTCGCAACCCTTTACATTCCTCGGCCAATCACATACACCAATAGTAGGATTGAATACTGTTCCAGGACCACAATCCATTATATAAGTAACACCGTTTGCACATTGTATAAATTTTGTGCAGTCTCCATAATGTGGTAATAAACCAATCAAATACGGTGGACATTTTGGTTCCTAGTACATCAAATAATTGCATAATAAATTTAAAATGTTTTAATTTATATAGTGTGCATGATAACAAAAAAGAAATATATTATAATATAAACCTACTGTCAATTTTTGCGACTTTCGATTAATCTGGGATTCAGAGTCTAATGATTGTCTGAAATCAGCAAACTCATTCTCGTAACATTTCACTTTATGTGGAAAGTCACACTCCAAGGTATCCGGATTGAAATGAGTATTTGGAGCACACGGTTGGACAAATGCACGACCCTGCCAGCAATTGACGAAAAACTTGCAATCTGGTGGATAAACAAATTGTCCTGTGGAATTGTGATCAGGACACTGAACGCCCAACCGAGAATCATACTTAGCCACTTTGTGACGTGGATTATGTGACAGAACTATATTTTCTTTTCTTGGTTTCTATTTGAAAAAACAAAATAAGAATTAAAATAAATTTAAAGTTTCTCTCCTTCTTTCACTCTTAAACGTACTTTTTATGCATATTTTAAAATTTAGTTTTTTAACCTTATTGTTTGGGATATTGTATGTCTAAAAAAGCTAATCGTATGCCTCTTTAGCTCTTATTATTTAAGAATATAAAATCATAATCAATAACAAAAATATTATCAAGATTTATCATATTCAGATGAAGAGATGTATGTAAACAAAACTATAAATTTAAATTTATTAAATATACAGATATAGGAAATATACTAATGTAAATGTTTTAATGTAAAAACAGATCTGCTTAAAGATTTTAAAAGTTACCGTGCTATCAATAGCTACGCCCTCGTACAAATCCTCATTCTGAAGTCCCACATTTAATTCTTTGTTATTGTCATTTCTCTGCGGATGTTTATGATCAAAATCAATCTCGTTTTGAGGCCGATTGCGATATCCATACTTTGATTCATTCTCAAAATTATTTGTAAAATCTCTGTATTCAATAGGTTTCAGATTTTGTTGGTCCAATTTATCAAATTTCAAGTTATGTTGTTGCTCAGGAATGTTTTCAGAAATTTGTTCGGGAACTTGCACAGGACCATAATTTTCAAGCTGCGTTCGTTGTTCGATTTCGCTACCCGAAGGTTTTCGCCAAGGACTCCAATTTTTCGTGTCAGATTTAGGTGGGATGTTGCCACGTGATTGTTGTTGCCATTTCGAAGAAGGAGATTCTATTTGAATGCGCGATTTATTCTGAATCACATTCCAAGGAAGTATCGATTCACGACGTTCTGGTGGTTTTGTAGTTGTCGCGCTTGGATCATAGATCTACGATAGTAGAAATCAATCTAAGTAAATTAATCACAGTCCTAATTTTTATTATTAAATTTATAATGAAGGAAAATTTAAAGAGATATATAAAGTTTAGTATGATTGTACATGTTTATTTTATTTATATATATTATTATATATATTATATATATTATTTATATACAGGGTCTACCAAAAGTGTGGAAACCCCTAAATATCTCGGAAAATATACGTTTTACAGAAAAGTGTTTCCAACAAAAGTTGTAGGGTTTAAGAAGATCTATATACTGATTCTATCAGTTTGACCTTGGATGGCGTCGTCAAGGTCAGGTCAAGGTCACATTGACTTTTTTAAATGACACCCCCTACATTTGATTGCATATTCTTATAGCTTAATTCAAGAGCTTTCCAAAACACTATAATAATGTTCATTTTTATTAAGTACTTTGCGAGTTATGAGGGTTGAAATAATTTCTTAATTTTACATAAACCATAAAATATCTAGTAAACCATTCATTTTTCGATTATCTTACCTTCATACTTTTATGTACAAATTAATGAGAGGAATCAATTGGTGTAAAGAAAACACATAGTTGTTTCTAAGAAAAAATATGTAATTTGCAATTAACAATTCCATATTTTTTCTTAAAAACAACTGTATGTTTTCTTTACACCAATTGATTCCTTTCATTATTTTGTACATAAAAGTATGAAGGTAAGATAATCGAAAAATGAATGGTTTACTAGATATTTTATGGTTTATGTAAAAGTAAGAAATTATTTCAACCCTCATAACTCGCAAAGTACTTAATAAAAATGAACATTATTATAGTGTTTTGGAAAGCTCTTGAATTAAGCTATAAGAATATGCAATCAAATGTAGGGGGTGTCATTTAAAAAAGTCAATGTGACCTTGACCTGACCTTGACGACGCCATCCAAGGTCAAACTGATAGAATCAGTATATAGATCTTCTTAAACCCTACAACTTTTGTTGGAAACACTTTTCTGTAAAACGTATATTTTCCGAGATATTTAGGGGTTTCCACACTTTTGGTAGACCCTGTATATTATTTATATATATTATATATAAGTTTATTCGAAGATAAATGAAATCATACACTTGGTACAATCAATTACATACAATATATAAATAAATTATGTATACTCTACGTTTCCTTTAACTGTTATCAATAAATGTATGAGCACATTGTATCAGTAAATATATGAGCATATTATATTTTAAAGATTTTAAAGTGTAAATAATATTAATATGGTATTATATATTTAAATCAATATCTTTTGAAAATATAATTAAACTGAAATCATTGTACATTGTGCATGTGTTAGAAAAAAGCATTAAGGGATGAATCAAAAAGGCATTATATTATAAAAAATTTGTGCATAATTTAGGTGAATATAAAAACATATTAAATGTTGATATTTTTCTACAGCATTTGCATCACAAAATTATGACATATAATAAGTACAAATTCAGAAAAAATACATTCATGATACATGTTCCATCTCACTTAAATAAATAAAATGTCTCTGACTTAATTGCCAATTTATATTACGTTTCCAACATATGTCTTTAACACGCTATCAATCAATGCAAATAAAACGTTTTCAAACTCCATTCATTAATATTATATTATATGAGTATTATTGTCTCGATGAAAAATTAAGTTTGTGTATGCTCCAATTTTTAGAAAAATATCAATTCTATCAAAAATCTATTTATCTCGAAGGAATAATTAAGATTAGCACAAATTTTTACGCTGCACTTGTATTATTTCGTTATAATATTTTTGGAAATATCAAATATTTGCTTTTCTCTTATAACCTAATTTTAGTCAGTTTAATTCACATTCGGATTACAACTTTAAACAGTTTTGAGTAAAATAACGGAAATTAAAGCGATTGTATGTATCACTAAGAGCCACAACAATTCTATCACATACCGCGGAAGAAAAAACGGCTAAATAAACGAGACCGATCACGACGAGGAAATGCTTTAAACACATCATCTTCGATGCTTTCACAATACACCAAGCATTGTACTACACTGATTCTCGACTCCTTGTAAACTCTCAATTAGATTACCGATCGACGCCGTTTTACTCAGAAGCAGATAGCCTCTGAAAACAAATAGTCTGAGTCATGGAAACTGGAGGGTTATCAGTTGAAAAGGTCGAGGTTCATTTCAGTTCGGCGTACAACGAAGAAAAAGGAAAACAGAATGGAGAAGTTATAGATAATTAAGAATAGTAAGGAAAAGAAAGACTACTCGGAATTTATAATATTTTTCATGTGTGTGTGCGCGTAAAATAAAAAGAATGCCGACATGTGTATGTGAATCGACGCAATAAACCAGCGACTGTAAACAGAGCTATTTGCCAATCGACGGTGCGCGAACAAACTTCTGGCTCTCGTTGATTACTACAAGCTGGCTTTACAAAGGAACCGGCACGAACGATATAAATGAATGAAATATGCTATTTATATGCGGCATTTTTTTTATTAACCCTTTTTGGAAAATATTATTATACGAGGGATGCTTTTATGTCGCTATTTATAATTTCCGCGGGAGGCTGAAGTCGCAGTTGGCGGATCTGCGTCGATGGCTGCAGGTAGAGGTGACCGGATCGAAAACGTAGGTGGGCGCGCATGTCTCCAGCTTGCATTTGCCATTACTGCACATCACGTATTTGCTGCAGTCCTCTGGGTACGCCGACACTGTGTAAGATTTGCCATCCTACCAAATCAGATATTAATACGTAAGAATTCGAAAAACGGTATGATATATAAGCAATTGTATTAAATTTGAAGAAGATTAAATGTACTTATATTTTTTATACAAATATATTATTCTTACTTTCTGACATTCTTTATTATTTTATTCGATTGCTTCTTATTTCAAGTTTATATTAAATTTTTTTATATTAATTTTATTTCATATTAATTTGACAATTTTTGATATAATTATAATAAACCTAATGACATCCGTTAAAGCATCACATTGCACTGTAATATATCTTTTTCTATGCACTTGGTAGAAATAAATATTGGTGGAGTATTAAGACGAGAAGTTAAACGACAAACGACAAAACAATCAAGATAATCAAGATAGTCAATAATAATCAAGATAATCGATAATAAAATAATCAAGATAGAAATAATGTGTTTTAAAAAAATATATATTTTATTTTAAATATATAAATATTTTATAAATATTTAAATCTTCTTTTAATATTTAAAACATATGTCATTTTTAACTCGTGACACTTTAGAGAAAATCATTTTAATTAATTTCACACTTACTACTCTTATCCTCTTGGTAGCAGAAATAAGGTGACAACAGTACACCAGAAGCAATAGAGTTAACAATCGGAACGACATCATCGTATACAATCCTGGGATCCTGTTCAGCTACAATTACACGTCGTAGTCGGAGAATTGTGGTATTTATTGCAGATCACGTTGTGCAATCTGATGGGAATTTTATTGAAGCTGATCGTCACCGCGGAAACTACGTTGTTTCTAGCACGGTTTGCAGGATGAGTTTATCTGAAGCTGAGAAAAATCTCTTATCTGCTCAATGCGTAAACGAAGGTCGCGTCCGTACTGTCATGATACTATTTTCGCATCCACTCGCCGGACATCGTTTAATCGTCGCCTATTGCTCCTCGTTATTACATCGTACATAAGCGTTATGAGCAACGATACTATCGCAATCACTTTCGATGCTCGCGATATTATAGTCTATATACAAAAATAATTTGCAACAATTTTGTTTTTTTTTTACTTGTACATAATTTAGTTTTCTATTTTAAATTAGCGGCAGAGAAGTTATTGATTGTCAAAGGCAGTGATGTATGAATAATTTAATGGTCAATGTGACATAATTTAAACTAATACCATAACTTTATTTGCACAATATAGTAATGTCCATACATTCAAATAGAATCAAGTACTGCAAAATAATTCTGCGTCTTACAGTAGCTTCTGGTGAAGTTGTAGATCAAAATTTTCATCCACGATTACTACATCCTGTTCGGTCTCTCAGAGGATAATCACAAGTATTTATAGCCGGATTAAATTCTGTTCCTCTACCGCAGCTCATGACAAAGCAACCACTTGCATCGCATTGTTGATATTTGCTGCAGTCGCCCGGATAGGGCAATACATGTGCCTAAGTGAATAAATCACGATTAACTCCCAGCAACGGTAAAAAGGAGAAAATAGACCATATGAATAAAGCAAGAATTTTCTCCTATAAGATAACTGTGATAAAAGCTAAAAATAAGTGGATATAGAGAAATATTTTTATTATCTGTGAAAGACCCTTTGATAAGAGCATAGTCATAATTCAAAAATTATCTACTTTAAACATTTATTTTGTAATAAGTATATAAAGTACAAAATTCATTATAAATCGCACGTGACAATTTTACGCATAATTGTATATTTGTATTATATATTTGTCGATTATTTATATTAATCATCATTCGATAATGATGACAAAAGAGAACCTAGATAGAACAGAGAGTTTATTTAAAAAGAATTCATTTTTATGTCACAAATTCTGAGTTTATTTTACGTAAAAGAATTCTTTTTGAATCTGAAAATAAGATAATAATATATTATGTCAATAAAAATATTGGTATGTGGACTAATACTTTTATTTACATAATATATTGACATAAAAATAAATTCTTTTTAAACTCTCTATGATTTCTGGGAAATATTTACGAATATAATACTTGAAAATATGAAGAAATATTTTTACTTTTATTAAGCGCATTCACTTTATTTTGTATGATTAATTAACTCTCATACATTGACATTAATCTTTTCTTTCTATTTAACTATATTATTTACAAAGTACTTACTAGTATTTGTGTCATTACAAGCGACGTTGTGCACAGTATTAGAAATAATAAAACTGCACAAAATCTCATTTTGAACATCGTTCTTTAATCGTGTTGATCGTCGTTTAACTCAATTCAATTGCATTCCGTTGCCAAGAAATCGATCTTATATATATAATCTTCGATAGTCCAGGAAATGCTTTATTACTACCACAAATTACGATTTTCCTATTACGCTTCTTTGCTTATATTTTCGTTATCTTCAGTTCATGCAAAAGGCTAAAGGTGATATTCGTTACGTCATTGCATTACGTCATTAAAATGCATGAATATCCATAGAGAATTGCATGAAATATCAAAAGTTAAAAGTTGCATACTTCTTTTAATTCATTATATCTATTTACATAGATTTACGTCAAGAAAGTGAACTCCAATAATTTTTAGAATACGTGACTCTTAAGTCGACTAATAAGCCTATTAATTATGCCTATTAATAAGCTTATTAAATAGGCCTAGGCATAAACTTATCAAATATGTAAATGAAGATAAGCATAAAAATAATGCGCTGATACATAAAATTGTTGTTAATAAATAAAAATTTCTCTAAACTAAATAATTGTTACAATATTTTTAATAGGCATAAATTTTGACACTTATATTTCTTTAGCCATAATATGATATTAAATGATTTGATGACAGCAAGTTACACAGATGATACAGTGTCCAACACAGTATTATAAGTGCTGAAGTACTATAATTATTTCAATGTGACACAGTGTCACATTGTTCGACACATATATGTAATACGAAAAAGAAAAATACTTATCAAATGAACTATATGTTAACAAAAATTTAAGATATGTAATCAATACACAGAAAATTAGTAAGAGACTAAATCATATTTTGTTATTACGCATTAATTAGTAGAAACGCTATCTTTTTGGAAATAACTAATAATACATAAAGATATAACGCAAAAATAATGAGCGGAGATACAAATATAAAAAATAATAAAAATACAAATTTTTCTAAAAAAAACGTACATATTGAATAGGTACAAATGCAACGTTTCATATCTATAAATGTTTCCGTTTTGTACAAGGATATTTTGTGAATTATTTGTATTTATTTATTTAAAACTTGACTTTTAAAATATCACAAAATTATAGTATACAATAATATATAATAAATGTAATTAGATAAAAATTGTATGAATTAATATATTGTCTTAAATCTTTATGGACAATATTCTTTGCTCTTCTACTTTATAAAATTATTAATACAACTCAATTGTTTTCATATTTAATACATTTGACTGTCGTAATTAGATTGACATTTGATTTTAACATTTAAATGATTTTAACATTTAAATGATTTTAACATTTAAAATTCATCCTTTTACATATTATCTTAACAAATTAATAAAAAAAAATCATAAAATGTTTAAATATTATAGAGAGAGAAAGAGAGAGAGAGAGAGAGAGAGGAAAAAAGAAAGAGGAAAAGAGAAAAGGAAAGAGAAATAATTATAGACATATTTATAAAAGAAAACTTCTATTATAAAATATATATATATATATATATATATATATATATATATATATAATTTATTTGTGCAAGTGATTGACATGAAAAATACGAAAACATATTTATGTCTTCAGCGAAATTTTTACTTTTCTTTCAAAACAACATCTAGATATTATCCTTTCTTTCAATAACCGATACGGATGAGGTGATTCGGAAGAAGTTATCGGCACTCCTGCGAAGCGACGTAATTTCGGAGATAATAAGATTAAATTTTGTAAAAGACCAAATGCACTGCTAGTTGTCCAGTACAAACTCACGCACTGAAAAAAAATTTTTAGATATAAATATATATATATATATACACAAACACACTATAATTAAACTATTCTTGTAAAAAATTTTTTCACAACTTACCGATGGTACATACATAGCAATGGGAATCATACCAATCGTAAAAATTCTGAAGAAATAGGTCAAATATTGCTTCCATTTTGTTAGCTCTTTTATCCTACTCATATAATTTATCTGCAAAATCATATACAATTAAAAATATATGAATAATCTCTTAGAGTATTAATTTTTTAAAATTTCTCTTATGAGATTTCAATCAATTATTAGAGAAACTTACCTCTATAATAGCTAAATTGAATAATCCCATTGCAATGGGAAGTACAAAAGGATCTGCTACAGTTAAGTTTGTAACCCAAAGAAATCCATCAGTTATAAATTCCTGATAAATGGTATAAGCATCTAAGTGGAAAAAAAATATATTAGAAATAATTCTCTTAATAATAATTCTCTTGTGTTTCACTTAAGTATTAACATACATACTAGCATCCTGTTTAGGTAACATATAACACAAATTTCTAATAGACATTGATAGTGATATCCATAAAGGTATTTGCACTAATATCAATATGCTAGCTTTAACTGGATGACAATTTTCTCGAATAACCAAATTATTCCATTGTTTCTTTACCTATAATAGAAAAATGGTAAATATTTATTATATCAGATCTTTCAAATATAGTAAACAAGTTTTATCGCTATTGTTAATTTGCAAACTTGAACTAAATTGGAGACTAAATATTATCTACAGAATGATTGTATAAACGCCTAGCATAATCCTTGGGCCACTTATACTTATATATCCCATAACTTGTCTCCTTTTTCATTTCTTTAATTATTTCATCCATTTCATATTTAAGGTTTTCCAATTTTGCAAATATACGTTGCTGAAAATATTATTATTATGAATATCACAAGAATAATATAAAAGTTTGTATTTTAAGATAGTTTTTAATAAAAAAATAAATAATTTAATAAAAAAATAAAACACTAATCAACTTTCAAAATAAATTTGTACAAGATAGAAAATAATAAAAAAAATACTTGTTAATTATACAACCAAAATCTTGAACTTATTCTCATCATACCTTCTACTTATATTATGGCATATTCAGATAATAAAAAATAGATATATAAAGATAATAATTCAAATATAATAATAATAATATAAATACAATAGTAAATATAATAATAGATGTAATAGTCATAGATATAAAATAATGGATATTACAAATATACCTGATATAAAGACAGCGGTAATGTTATCGCTGTCCTCATCATAATAGTGGTAAGTACAATAACTGACCACCATGGCAAACCAGTATAATCATGCATCCACAATAAAGAATCTTGTGCAATTTTAACATGCGTACTCTCCGATAACATTTTGAAGATACCACTGAATTGCATCAGAACTTGATTTTCAGCGATAGGATCAACGCTAGCACTTGAAAAACATCTAATACCATTATAATATTGACTACTATAAGTTTTACATCCTATACGCTTTTTTCTCCTGTCACTATGCGAAATTACAGGAGAAATAATTTGAGGATGAGAAGCGTAATAAAAATTATTTTGTAGTCTTGAACTATATTGCCTAACTTTGGCATTATTTAATGACACCAATCGTTGATTGAGAAAAGTTAAGTCTTGAGTAATGTTTGTACGAAAAGACGTACTGTAATTATTATACGTAGTATGAGAGAATGTATTTGATAATACATTAAAATAAGTGTCATTAATGTTGACTCGCTTAAAATGTCCCAAAAATACGTTTTGCAATTTTGTCGCGTGCATGGTAAATGCTTGTATCAGCAGCAACAAATAGTTCAACAAGTTCAATAAAATATTAAATTAAACATATGCATTATCGATTTGTGGTATTTATTGTACATTGTAGACTTCTCTTTTTGCGATACTCGCGCATTTACTGATAATTTAAAATATATGCGGAAACTTTTTCGCACAATATTAAAAGTGTCCAAACCAGAGAGAAGAATGAGATTCATAACCTGCTTTTAGGTTAGATGATCACTGAAAGCGATGCGCACTCTGTAAAAACATGAACTACGAAGCCAATGTCTACTAATGTTTAGTCGATAACATCAGAATTCATTCATTACGGCTTCACTCATATGAATGAAAGTATGAATGATACATTCATAAATGAATGAATGTATGAATGATTTTTCAATACCGTCGATAATAACGATTCGCGTGGAAATTTATGAATGCATTTTACGCACAAATGTATAATATTCACAAAAAACTACCGCGCAAATTGTACAACTGTTAAAATTTTATTATATTGCAAGATTATTATTCATGGTTTGAAATTAAACTCTCTTGCAGATTTGATTTTCTTTCGCTGTCACAAACACAGCACATGTATAATTAAATCGTGTTTTCGTGAATGAATGCCACAAGAGAAAACAACGAAAAATAGGTAAGAGAGGAAAAGGAAGTCTGAGAAAGCATCAGATATGTAACGTAAGGAGTAAAACGAAGTAACACGAAGTAAAACAATCGAATTATAGCTGCAAATAATTAGCATAATGAAAGGCTTCGTGATAAATTGTTTAATAAATAATCAATTAATAAATAATCAATTTTAATCAATAAATTAATATACTTCTATAATTTTATATTTCACGTTAATATTTTATAATATATAAAATATTTCGGCAACGAATTATTGATAACACGATGTTCAACTTTGGTAATGTATCATATAAACAGTAGCGCGCTATAGCTTTGTTATCATTCGCACGGTGATCTTACGGACTCTCGAGTAATAAAGTAGTAATGAGAAACGCTTCGTATATGGTAATTATTTTATTAAACACGATTACGATTTGTATCGAAATATAATTTGCTATAAATATTAACAAAAATTAATTAATTCAAAATTAATTAATGACATGAAACTGTATCGCAACAATAAATCTTTATCGAATCGTAATCATTCATTACCGCGATTAAAAATTGAAACAGAGGATATATAAAAGAGGATAAGAGAATTAATTATGTTATGACCTTTCGATCATTGATAGAATATTAGAAATAAATATATTTCGGCCAATGTTTTAAATTTTCTCAATCATTGTTAATTAAACACACAACTTAATCGAGAATCGATTAAATTATATGATATGATTAAATTATATCCAAAATATTAAATAATCACTCCGATCGTTACGATCTTTACGGACAATAAATATTATCTTAATGTAAAATATATTTCATCCGCGTTATTTTATCGTTCTTCATGACAATTTAAATATAATTTGAATTGAGAGAACACAAAATAAAACAATCGAATTATAGATGCAAATAATTAGCATAACGAAAGACTTCATGATGAATAGTTTAATAAATAATCAGTTAATCTTAATCAATAAATTAAAATAATTCTATAATTTAATATTCCACGCACGAATATTTTATATTACAGAAATTATTTCGGCAACGAGAGAATTATCAATAATACCGTGTTCCACCTTGATAAACAGTATCGCACTATTGTTAATATGTTACACGACTTTATTATCATTCGCACAGAGACCATCGAATTTTACGAGCACAGAAATTATTTCTTTAATATTTATAAATATTTAAATATAATTCGGATTATGAGAACGCGCAGTAAAACAATTGAGTAGATCTAATTAACATAATGAAAGACTCCATAATACATCAATCTTTAATAAATATATAATCATATAATTAAAAAACCTATATAATTTAAAATACTTGTATATACTTTAATATATTATATTCCATGTATATATATGTTAAAGTACGTAAAATATTTCGATGACGCGAACATATTAAAAATAAATTAACTTATGGTAAAGATCATGAAAATGTATCGCAACGATAAATCTTTATCGAATCGCAATCATTAATTACTGCGAATAAAAATTGAAACATCCACAAAGGATAAAGAAATTAATTTTATTATGATCTTTCGATTATTGATGCTTATTATAATAATTTCTCTAACGATACTTATTAAAATTAAATAAATTTCGACCAATGCTTTAAATTTTCTTAATCGGTAATCACTCATAGAATATTTCAACGACGAATTATAACAATAACATAGTATAAGTCGGCCTTGGCGATATAAACAGTATCGCGGTAATGTTTACGATCATTCGCACAGTAACCTCGAGCACTAAAGTAATGACGTTTCATATATTATTAAATTCTCTCTCTACATAGTCAACTTTGGCGATGTAAACAGTACCGCGGCAATGTTTCTGACTTACGATCATTCGGTCAGTGGCTCTCGAGCAGTGAGATAGTGATGTGAGATGTTCCATATATCATCAAATTCTTTCTCTAACTACAATTGCAAGTGCGACGAGGAACTTTTCGTGAGTAAGTGTAAGTGCAACGAGGAATTCAAATGAATGCAACGAGGATTGAAGTGCCACGAGGAAAAAGTGAAACAAAAGAAAAAAAGAAGGTCTTGGAAATGGATGGATGGATCAATAAGATATGATGTAAGTCATTAATATTTTAATTATTTATCACATTCATTATTTATTATATTGTTACGTTCCCGCGTCTCATCCCTCTGGATGTATTCGCCTATTGAATTCTTTCGGCGGGAAGTCTGTCGGCGGAAGAAGATTATTTCCGCGCGCGTTGTCAAGATTGTTAAACGACTGTCAGAGAGCCTGTCAAGTTGTGCGCACGTGCGTCTTATGTACTATATTACAAAATAAATTTTAAATTATATATTATATTATATATAAAATTATATATAATATAACTACATATTATATAATTATATATAATATAATTATATATAAAATTATATATAATATAACCCTCCCATAGGGTACACCTTGTCGTGGTGGGAGGGCTTAGTACTTGGATGGTGCCTTGAGATTTACCTTAAATTTTTCAATTTATGATAAATCTTAAGGTACCTGAATGGGAAGCTAAGTACCCTTTCGCATCGTCGGTGCCGTCAACGTGTCGCGGACGGCAAGCGCTTCGTCAACGCATCGCGTTTTCGCGTTGTAATATTCTCGCGTCGCGTTTTCGCGGAACTTTTGGACTTTTTCATAAAATCCCAATTTCATTTATAGTCACGAGTCTCTATTTCCGATGCCAATTAACTGGGATGTTCGAATTTGCACACGTTGCTCTGCAACGTACACTCTTGCTTCGTGCTTCATCAAGTAATTCGGCCCGAATTAGTTAGAACTCGGGAGTGCCGTTAAAAGTATATACATATTAAGTATATACATCGCGCGATCAAATATAAAATTTTTAATCGCATCGAAATAGTGCGGGAGTGCCGTTCAGTATCGCGCGTAAAATAACGAAAATAGCGATATAAAAATATCGCTCGCGAGTGCGGGAGTGTCGTTAAAACTATCGCGCGTCAACAATATGAGAGGAGGAGGAGGTCTGAGAGAGGCATCTTGCATCGGCGGAGCAATCTGATGGTGAATATCTATAATTTGTTTATCAATTGTTATAAATCGTTAACGAGCAATAATTCAATTTTATTATTTAAATGAATTAAAGAGAAAATTAGAGAGAAAGATTTTTATAAAAATCATACAAAACTTTCTATTTAAAATACAATTTCCAAAATTTATAAAATTTTTCCAAACGTGTTTATCTGCTTATTATTTTACACATCAGATATATAATTCCTCATGATAAAAATGTTTTGAAATATTGTATTTTGAGCATTATTATAAATGAATTTTATATTTGTTACAGACAACGTAGCTTCGATAACTCCGCTGTTGCGCATCAGTGCCGGTGAGTGAGAAAAACTTTTATTTAATTTTAAGATAACGGATTCGTAGAAATTATAAATGTAGATGTAGATACAGATTGTAGATTGTAGGTTGTAGGTAAATCCGTTACCTTAAAATGAATGAGCTAGGATAGATTAAATTAAATAACTTTTAATAAGTTCTCTCAAGATACTTTGCATCTATTGCGAAAATATATTGAAGTATTAATTAAAAAAAAAAGATCAAGAAAAGATTTTTTTGTAAAGATTTTGTCTATTTTATTAAATAAAGAACACGTATTAATAATTTTATCAATTTTATCAATTTCTGATGCTACTTTATTTTTATAACGCGCACTTAACTTTTTCTAATTGCTTAGCTCATCCATCGTAGAATTTGTTTGTAGATATTAGTTTTAAACTTTACTTTAACTTAATATAAAGCCAAATGATTAATTCATCAAATAACTTATAACATGATAATAAATGACTTACCATATGGCCGTTTTAGCAATTTAATATGATATATAAAAATTTCTAGTTTGGTTTTATTTTAGTTAAAATAAAGTTATATTCAAATATTTAACGAACGATCGTAAAATCGAATGATTGTTACGATAAATGTGAAATTTACGCTCATTTGCCCATAATTAACCGGCAAAAAAAGGAGTTTTTATCTCCTTTTTCGATCTCTGATTAGAGATCAAATGAGCTATCAACGAAAAGTAGGGTCAACTGGCCTGAAGAAAAACTTGCACGCGGTTAGGATACGGGAATGTAATTAGGACATTGATTGAAATATATATGATCAAAGATAGGCTTCCCAAATCTCAAATAATTTTAGTTAATTAGGAAGTAGGCTTGTTAAGGCTCATAGGATTGTTAGGACTCATAGGGTTGTTAAGATCATTATTTCTTTCAATTCTTTTAATATTCCAATAATCCTTGGGATAAATTAAAATTTTTAAAAAAAACTAAATTGAATTTATTTTTAAAAATGATTTGAACACTTTTTAAAAATTCCTGATTATAAATGGCTAGAAGGTAATCAACACGATAAACATCATAAGAAGAAAGAAACGCGACAAGTGCCTACGGTCTTGGGAATGCAGCAACCCATAACAATCAAAAGATTAAAAAAAGAGGATGCTTTGAATAAAAATGCACAGTAAGAACGAAAAAACAGTGATATTTATATCAATGAATTAAATATATATTATATTTAAACTTTTCAATGTTCTAATAATATCTTTCGAAAAGAGATGGTATCTCTATA